GTGATATGTATCAGAGTTGTCCCTGTTGTTGATGTTATCATTGTTGACTGGAAGAAGGCTGAGCTTGAACCAGCCATGCAAGGAGAGGATGAAATCGCGCTGAAATTTTATAAGGCGACAAAAACTGGAGTGCCAAGCTGACACGGCCGCTTCAAGGTCCCGAGTTGCCTGCCTGTGTAGTTCAGAAGTGGAGTCACCTCTTGAAGATCTGTTCACAAGGCCACGGACTTGCTGTACTATGTTGCTCTGAATTTCATGGTAATTGTGCATTGCTTTCCACATATACATAAATCTACATTTAACGTATCACACAATTCACAAACATAATAAGACAACACAGTTATCTTTAGCAGGCCATCCCTATTTTTAATATAAAATATAATAGATAAATAATTGTTGCTATGAGACAAATTCTTAATTTAAATTTATGGCACCTCAGTACATAGATGTTTCAAAAGTGAGAAAAAGAAATCTCTGCTTCAGCACAAAGTAAGCAATACTTTGTGACTGTCAAGATTTATTCTCATGCCATGCACCTATATTTTTATATGCACCCACTCAGCTCAATAATCATCTGCCACTTTGAAGATTTACACAGAATGTGGGAGCATCTTGCCGTCATGATTCATGTGGTTAAGGTTGTTCACAATGGCAGCAAAGTTAATATAGTGACTATCAAGCTCATAAAATTTCATATCAATCCAAGATTAAAATATAAGGTAAAATATAGTTTTAGATTTCCTAGAATTTGACATGCAATCGGTTAGTCATATTTCAACAGTCTTATTACCATAACTTTTTAGCGAAATTGTGGCAAATCTTAAACTATCATTTGATCTCCACCTTCATCAGAATCATATTATAATATATACAACATATCTCACGGCAAAATTTACCAGATAGGTTATTTTGAACAGTCAACTAAAAGCAGATGAATATCAGATTAATAAGTTTTTATAGTGTATAGCACCCCCCAGTCATGTAGTTGAGAATCAGCTAACAAGGGTTATCCCATCATATGGTTTAACATAGCTACTCCATCAATAAATTAGTTACGCTCAGATGGAGTCTAAAAGAGACAAAATAACATTTTGACAGATGCACTGGTGGGCCAAGGTTTTAATATAAGAGGTAGGCAGTAGTTGGACAGTTTGGTGGTACAAAGAAGCACATGCAATTACACAGCTGATAAAGCAAGTGGCATACGAGAGCGGTAAGCCATAATTTTTCAACTACCATCCAAGATTTTCTTGACCCAAATTAGGCAGCATATTCTCACGAGGTAAATGAGGTGATTTGAAAAAGTGAAAAAACATTTCAATTCTTTACAGTTAAACTTAAAAGTTCTTTACAGGGTTGGTCATTTTTGACAGTTCAAAGTCCTCGCATTCCACCAGATCACGTCATCATTAACAATTCGAGTGTAAATATATCCAACGAACAAGCCACAGCAGGATTCTAAATTATGGCCACATAACAAGCTGCACAGTATTCAAAGTGTGTTTGATCATCAAGTCCAAAATATCAGATTTAATTTGTAAATGGATGGTTACAAAGACCAAAGCACATGAAATGTTCATTAGACCAAAATACTGGACAATATCGGGGACTCAATTAAGTTATTCAAGTTTATTATTTATAACAGTACAAATGAGCACATAAGTGAGCTACCATACGCATAATTTATCGTCAAATTGGATTAATAGATAACCACCATAGTTCTTCGCTTCTTTGTAGATTAATTATGTAATGGTCAAATCTAATGTGCAAGAACTTGATTAATTAGCTATCCCCAACGTTTGGAGCTAACAGAACAGAAAAGCTATTGCAGAAGAGACATACCCATGGATGAGAGCAACAAGCTGAGGGACAAGATCAGAGTCCCTAAGGCCAATAATGGCAGTTGAGGTGGTAGACACAGCCTGAGATGTAACAGCTATTAGTGACTGCAGCCTATTTATGGAAGTCTTTGTTTTGAATATCTTAGCTTCATCCTCTCCTTTGTATTCTTGAGTTTGCAGAGCTGACAATTTCTTTTCATGTTCAATCTTCACACCTTCTCTAGCCTTAAGCACAAATTGTAGAAAGTGTTAGCATAGCACGCTTCGTTTCCAAACCACATGGTTTAGGTTTTTAGCTAAAAATAAATGCAACAGAACCACCTGACTTCAGTTTGGTAAAAAGGCAGCCAAGTTGGAGACAACATTTATGGTGATTTCAAACATCCATAACAATATCCTAGGCATTACTTTTTTTTCTTTTAGTGCCGTATGTCTAAAGAAACGTGCCTTTTTCAGAAAGTTTACCTAGACACACATGTATATATGACAGAAAATGTTTGCCCTTCATACATAGCCTTGCGGACAACAAAAAATGGTAAAATAGACCCAATTGAGAGTGAACAATCAATTCCATGTAAGACAAAATTTGAAGAAACAGACAAGTGGTTTACTTACTTAAAATGTGTTTATCACTCTGGTCCTCACTCCCTCATTGATATTTTCCATTGGAGTCAGTTCATCTCATTGGGGTTAAAAGTTAAAGGGTGTGGGTATTTCAGTCAATTCACACAGAAAATTATCATTGAAATAATTTTACCCAACTGCTTAATTAACGCTAATTTACAGCAAGAATCTATTAAGACAAGCACCGCCCTCCAAATCAGGAGATGATTCAAAACCATGAATATTTCATAGGTAAACAATGTTTACCGGATCATATCACCTATTATACACTTAAATCATTACTCGACATGTGTAAAAGCATTTTCGGGATAAGTATGTTCCTATCATGGAGCATTATTTGTACCACAATAATAAAGGTTGGTCCCAACAACCGAGGCCATTTTGGTCAATTCAGAATGGGGAAAAAGGAAAAGGAAGTCATTTTCACACTAAACAGTCAAATTCTGCTGTGACCTTACGCTACCCAAGTCCAACATAACCTACACCGCATACCCTCACTCGTTTCCTTTTTCCCTTCACCTTTTTATGCTCTCGAAAAATATAATTAATTTTTCTAAAAAGGGAACCGCGTTATTTTTCCAATTAACACCACCACCCTAGAAAATAAGATAAAATTACCTTAACCTCCTCGTAGAGCTTTTTCTCCCACGCCAAAAGCCGTTCTAGAGTGGAGCAAAGACTCTTGGAACCGCCCGGTTCATCCAGCGAACCAGCGTCGAGCCGGTACTTAACCGCCAGCGGCGGTTTCGAGGTCCAACTCGAGCTCAAGTTGCTCAATATGCTACTCGAGTGATACACAGTCTCTGCAAAATCAGAATCATCAAGATTCAATTCAAACAAACCTACCCATAATTTTCAATCCGCTCTTTGCAAGTCAAGAAAAACCAAAGCCGTACCCTTAGTCGGAAATTGACCCAAAACGAAGAAAAATGAAACAACCAAACACAAACCTCATAAAAACCCCAATAAAATGCTTTTAACACCCCATAACAAAAATTAAAATTGTCCCATCCAAAATAAAACTTACAACATTTCTTCAAGCTCTTTAAATTTGTTTTCCAATTAAAAGTAGAAACAAAATATAGAACAGAAGTTAGAAAACCTTTGCATTCTTCAGTACTATTCTCCTATTAGATTCTAAGTTTCTGTTTTGCAATTCACATTCGAGACCAACAAAAAAATAATGTCTGAATCAATGAAAAAATTTGTTTGAGTTTGTTCAACATACTCCTCAATTGTTTGAAGCTACGATCAAGCTGAGCCTTGCTGATCTCGAGCATCTCCGAAACCTGATCTCCAGCGGAAGCAGCATTATCAAAATTCTCCTTAATAGCATCCACGATCTCCCTCAAGTCCCTATGCCTCACCACCATCTTCATCTCCGCGACGGAGGACGCGGCATCGAACCCTTTCGCGCCGCCTCCAGCCGCAACCGACTCAGCCCGCATGGATGACCCGAAATTCGACCGCGTCCCGATTTCGGACCGCGATTCCACATACTCTTCCACCTCATCATCGTCATCATCATCGGAGGAACTCGTGGTGCTGTAATGATCCCCCCACTCACTGCACTGAACCTCCTCCCTCTCAGTTTCAGTATACTCCTCGGGAAGATGGTGATGAGAGTTAGAATCAGAGCGAGTGTGACAGTAAGTTTTTTGAGTTTCAAGTTTTCCGCCGAAGTAATCGTATTCAGATCTCTCGGAGTCGGTGTCGTGAATTTGGGGATTGGTGGGTTGGGTTTTGTGGGAGTAATGAGAGGGTGTTTGTGTTTTGTGAGAGTGAAGGGAAGGTGATTGTGATTGTGTCTGCATCTGTGAGAGTTTTTGTTGGTATTGGTGTTGTTCTTCGGGGAAGTAATCGGAAGCGGGAGGGGGTGGGGGAGGGTAGAGATTTTCCCAGTTCCAAACGGAGGAGGTCTGGGAAGGGGTGGAGGAGTATGTGGAATGCGCGGTGGGGAAAAAGTTCGAAGGAAAATTCGACACGTGGCTTCGCGGCGTGGAGGAGGGGCTTGAGTCGGAGAGGATATGGGGGAGCTTCTGCGGCGGTGCTTTTCGGCGGCGCGGTTGGACAGGGGCGAGTTTCGGCGGCGGGGAAGGGTTGAAGGGTGGTGGAGAGTGATGGGGGTGGTGGTGGCGGTGGTGAGGTGGTGAGGGTGGGCGGGTGTGATGGATGGGTTGTGGTGGTTGTTGGGAGTTGCTGAGGAAGACAGCGGGGGTGTGGTCGGAGACGGAGAATGTTTCGCCAGCGGCGAAGGTGGAAAGGGCGGAACCGGTGAGGCGGAGGGAGCGGCAGTAGTCGGAGTGGGCAGCGGCAAGTTGGTGGCGCGCGTAGACTGCGTCCTTCATGAGACGGCGACGATCCTTGCAGCGACGAACGGTGTCCTCGTTTTCCAGCTTGGACGCCGTGCAACCCATGGTGGCGCGTGGGGGAAGTGGGGTGGGAAATGAGAGTGTTGTTGGGTTCAAGTGAATGATGGAGTGAGAGTCATAGTGTGAGTGAGTGAGTGAGTGAGTGAGTGGGTGTTGGGAGGGAATGGATGGGATGGCCTTTGGAAGTGCGTTTTAGTCTCCAACAAGTCCCCCTTTATTAGTTGTTTTCTTCTTTCTTTGTATTCTCTCTTGAATTTATTAACAAACGCTGTCTTCTTTTTTCGGTGATAATACCACATTAAAACAAGGTAATCACGGTGGTTGAATGGGGATTTAATAGTTCTTCAATGCTGTCACTCCTTTTTATTATTCTTACGGATGCCTATAAAACCAGTGTAAATTAGTAGAAAATTAAGTAACAAGAATCAATATAGATAATTGAAATTTTCATAGTATTATTATATGATGAAAAATATAATAAGTAATTAAATAATATTAAATAAATTAGAAAAAAAATTGAAAGGTGTGGTACAAATGAATTTGTGTTTCAAATTTTTTTATTTTTACCTTTTAGGGAATTGGAGTTTTTTTACCCTTTTTTTTTTTATTTGAACAAATAACCTTATTAGCTTTGAGTTTTACTTAATAGTCTAATTCCGTTTTCAAATATGTGGTGAAAAGAGATTGTGTCGAAAATGAAAGAAATTTTATTTTGGTAGCTTAATTTATCCAATACCTCTTAGAATGAAATTTTTAAATTTTCTAATATATTAAATATCTAAAGATATGCATTTAATTTAACTTGAGTTAAATAAGTTGTAAGTAAGAGGATGGATATAATTGAATATAAGTACAAGTTACATTTACATTGAGTACATATATTACTTTCATAATTTGGGATGATTTATAGAAATCAGTAATTTTTTATGTATTTATATGAATGCTTATAAAAGTATGTAAAATTCAAAAGTGACATAAGACATAAAGTAATAATTTAAAAACTAAATCAATTGAAATTTTATTTTCAATGATAAATTATCTATATTTAATAAATAAAATAATTTTATTAAATTGTAATTCTAGTAACCAATATTTATTAATTAAATGCTTAAAATAATGGTTAATAAAAAACATACTTTATTTATATGTATATAAAAAGAGATATATGATTGTTTTCATATCACAAATATCTCTCCTACATAAGAGGTGTATTGTTTGAATTAGACAAATTCAGGGTGCGGATTAAGTTTTAAACGCAACCATGTCCAAAATTCAAAACTCAAATTATATAATTATAGAAAGGATAAATATATATTTATTTTCTCATAGTTACTGCCCAATCCTATAAATACACACATTTCAATCCTTAAATATAAAAAAATAGAAAAACTATGTATTTTTATGGTAAACTACGAAATACATCTATATTTTTTTTCATTTAATTATGGTTTTTCAACTTGTGAGAAAAGCTATGCAACTAAATGTTAAGTTTTTGAAAGAAAGATAAAAAAAATAAAAAATACGAAATTGTCGATTACCATCTCGCATCTTTTGTGTCAGATATGGCTTGTTACATCACCAAGTCAACTATATTGAATATTGTTCACCAAGTTTAATTTTCATTCTAATGTTCTACATAATTTGCTTTTTTATCTCAAGCCGTCAGATTTTATAATTAAAAACTAAAGGGATTTCAACCCAAATATTTTTTTAATCAAGTTTAATAAAAGAAAATGATAATATTCATACTTTAGTTAACTAATTATCCACATATCCTTACTCAGTGAAAAATAACACTTATACATATAAAAAAGTACTTATAACATATAATAATAATATTGTTATTATTATTAAAAAACATTAAACATAACAAGATATTATAATAATAATAATAATGTTGAATGAAGCATTCCTTGGCTAAATGTTATAAATCTTTAAATATTAACTGTTTACTTCGGAAAATAAATTAACGGGCTAACATTTATACTTTCTTAGAGTGGAAAACATAAATAGTTTGTATGGAAATAAATTGATAAAAATTAATAAATTATAATAAAAATAAATAAACATAAAAATAAGTAAAAAAAAAGAGAACAATAAGTCTTATTAAAATGAAAAATAGTAAGCACGTATTAGGACAAGACATATCTCTCGAACAACGTTAGTTTTAAAAGCAAAAGTTTCGTGAAACAATTTTTTAGCTTCGGGACAAAGTTGCCTCCTATTCCAATGAAATTTTGTGCGTTGTCACAGTAATTGTCTCTCAAAACATTTTATTTTAAAATAATTTAAAAAACGAAATTTATATTTATAATTTGAAAAAGGCCTTTAATTGGACGTTAGCTGATTGTCCTAGAAAATTAAGGCACAAAAATTTTCCACAAAATCTAGTCATCAAATTTGTTTTGTTTGAAAGAGAAAATGGTGGGTGAATGGGTTCGGATTCACGTGAAAGGTAAGAAAAATTCTTAGATTAAAAGACAAAATAGTTAAACTGTTTACAGTAATCCTTTGATTTTGCACCAATGGGGATGGAACTTGTATCGCTATCATGATTGCATGGCACCCAACCACATCAAAGGCAACACCTTTTTCTGGTTTGATAATAATATTTCAATTACTTCACACTAACAATACAACAAAACCTGCCTTGCTGTTCGAAGCTGTTCTACCCCACATGTGTGTCTTCCCTAATTCGTTTCTCTATAGGATTCTCTGCTTATTTCTGATCTCACGTTTCATGATTCTTCTATTTCATCATACTTTAAGTTTCTTTCACCAGAGAAATTTGTGGGAGTTTCTGTAACTTGAAGTTTTCATTTTTAAAAATTCAGTAATAATATTTCTCTTAAAACAATATAGAGTCTCTATAAAAAGCAAAATACTAACAAAAAAGAAGAAACAGAAAAAGGGACAATAAAGAAGATTTGGAGCAGGTGAAAAGTGTGAGACGAAGATCAACATCCACGCAATAAAGTCAAAAAAATTTCTCCACTTCTTAAGACGAATCAAACATGATTCAAAATCCAATTAGGTTTTTGCTTAAAATACATAAATACAAGTTTAGTGCATGTTTGGAATAGTGAAACCTTCGTCGTGTGCAGTCGCTGGATCTTCATGGGAAACGTGGGAGTCGTGGCTCCCAAAGTTTTGTAGACTCCCATGTAATTTATGATTTTGACCCCCCAAACTTAATTAACATTTAATATATTTACTTGTATATTTACCATTTTATCCTCTCAGCCCTTCCTTAGTTTTGTAACTCTCATAGAATTTATGATTTTATCTCTCTCTAACTTAATGATCATCTAATATATTTAAGTATATATTTACAATGTTATCCTTTTACCCTTTCATTTTCTTTCTTCCTTTTATATTTATTTATTATTTATTAATAATATATTATTTGGTCTCAAAATCAATGGTCAAGATACGCCACTGACCGTAGGTTCACTTTCACTTCTTAAAACAAGCTCTTGACTAGAGTTTTTCATGTTCAACTTTCCCACTTTTTTCTTACCATTTTATGAAAAGATGAAATAGGTGCATGAGAAAGCATCATGCATGAATATTCCACCAATAAGTGGAACCTTTCTGTGGTAAAGCATAGGATATAAAAGAGAGAGTGAGAGGTGAAAGGAAGAAAATTCAAAACTAGTGAAACACCCTTTCATATCTTCCCCATCTTTCCTACTCACAAACCTTTCACTTCAAGACATATCACATGCATATCCCTTTTTTTTTCAATGCCCTAAAAATATTTTCTTTTAAAAAGAAGTTAACATTGTCTTTGGCCTTCTACCTTTCTTTGTTCCCGGACTTTTCAATGGGAATAAGCATGGAACCCTACCCCAGCTTTGGTCACTTGGAAGAGTATCCAATTCTTCACAAAAGCATAGTGACGTTTCTATCAAAATATTCTTTATCTTAACTTCTTTTTATTTACCTTTTTTTTTTCTTTTCTTTCCTGTTATCTCATCTTTCCAAATTTCCCTCCCTTTTTGTTCAATTGGATTGATTATATTTTTGTTTATGAATTAATCAACTAAGAAAGACAATGAAACAAATTGAAAACAAAATATGAATTTGGAGGCAGAAGGTTCCTTGAAGTTAGAGTCATGTCTTTGTTGGCAACATGATCTGGTCAAATAAAAAGAAGCATTATTCCATCTTCCAAAAATTTCTGCACTAAACAAAAGAACAGTAAAAAATAAGGTGATTGAAATTGAAGGAAAATCTAGAACTAACATATAAGATAATGTATATGTTGTAAGTGTTATTTTTCAATCATAATTAACTGTTTTTAATAATTTGTATAATAAAAAATTATATAAAGATAAAAGCTATAATTTTGATTGGAAAATAACATGAATAATACTTATACTATTGAATATAATTTTTCTAACATAAAATTGAAAAGAAAAATAAAATAAAATGTGTGAGTCATGTATGAGGCAAAAAGGGTAGAATATGGTGACCTTTATTGAGACATGGTACTAAGGTGAGTAAGCAAAAAGTGAAGTTTCACCACAACCACATAGATTCCTCTAATTATTCTTTTATACCAAAAGTTTCAAGATTATGGAATTAATATGATTATTACATGATTTATTTATTTTTTAATGAGAGGTTTTATAATATTTGAAAGCACAAATTCTATTTTGTGGGAATAACTTTCCCTAATAGAGTTTGCATCTAATGGCTTTAACCACCTAAACAAAGAAAAGAGAAAATTCACTACTTTTTCTTTATTTGGTACAACTATTTGAGTTGGATGGAAGGAAACATAATTTTAAAAATGAAAATTTTATTAAGTTAGATTCTCTTAAAAGAAGATTGTTTGCTACTCCATGATCAAGGAACTCACTTTTTTTTACACCCTGAACAAGAATCTTTAATAAAAATAACCTCACATTTTTATTATTATGATTTATGAGGTTCAGATATATTGTTTGTCAAAAATACTATTTGGTCCTTCATTTGACTTCATGTCTATGACTTTTTATGAAAACAATGAAATATAATTAACTTGATTTTGATGTATCATTTGAATAATTTTTATATAAATTATTTTTTAAAAGAATTCCTTTTGAGTATTTGTAATTCAACTTTATTTCTCAGAGAGATCTCGAATCAAATTTAATTAAAATTGATCCTATGTTTCTAGAGAAAAAAAAAACACTGTAAGCTTTTAATTAAAACATCCAATTTTGTTAAAAACAAGTCTATAAATGTTTGAAATTATATGATGTTACTTCTTTTTCACTGTTTAAATCAAGTAAAAAAAATGAAAGATTAATTTGACAAAAAAAAATATAGGCAGCAGTTAACTTTTCTGTCTTTTGACATATTTTGTAACAAAAACTATTCATTTATTAATAAAAAAATTATTTTTAAAAAATTGACACCTATAGTATTCTCCTCCAAAAATATACTTTTCACTTGTTTAAGTGCAATTTTTTTTTCTTTCAAAACTAATGTAATAAAATATTACTTAAAAAATCATCATTTTTAATTAAAAATATTTAATTTATCATTAATTAAAATTATTACCATTCAAATTTAATTACCATGTTTTAATTAGTAATTTCACATGTTAAAATGTCTAAAAAATAATATTTAAATAAAATAAGAATAATTTTAATAATCATTCTAATTAAATTAAAAGAACATAGTCTTAATATTTAGTCTAACCCTTCGTAAAGGTTTGATAAGCTTTTAAATAATTTCTCATTTTCAAAGTACGACAAAAGATTATAGAACTTAATATTCTATTTTAAATGAGTAAATATAAAAATAACATTATGCTTACAGTTTTTATTAACGCTTTTTTTTTAACTTAATTAACTATATATCAAGGATAAATTATTACTTTATATATTTATCAAGGATAGTGACTAAACATTTTAAATTAAAGCATATTAAAAAAAGTTGAATTAACAACTAATACCTAAGTATACTTACTCTAAAGCTTATTTATTAACACTATCATCAATGAAAAAAAAGTGACATTTAATTAAAAACTGTTTTTGACTTTGAATATTTTTCAGCAACTTTATTATTAAATTTATTATCTTTATGAAAGAAAATACAATGTATATGCATATAATCATCTATTTAATCTTATTTTATTTATTTATTTTTATTTTATTTATTTATTTTTATTTTATTATTTATTTTAATTTTTGAATTTCTTTTTGTTTTAGTTACAAAAATTATTACTAAGTAAATTAAATTGTTTAGAAGCAACTTTTTATATTTTTTAAATTAACATAAAAACATTTCATTGTTTTATAATATATATATATATATATATATATATATATATATATATATATTTATATACAAATGACATTATAGATATATATTACTTTTCAAAATAGGATTAAAAAGATGCCTATATATTTATACATATTATGTTATATTTCTAGATTATATTTTAGTTTGAATTTTAGTAACAATACTATTACAATATACTTGCTATTTTTATTTCAAAATTGTTCAATTTGTAATGTAAAAGAAATGTGTTAAAAATTTAATATTATTTAAGAACATGATAAAAATAATAAAGATAAAGAAACATTATAAAATTAAATAATCATAAAATTTGTAGCACAACTCTTTCACATTGAATACTAAACTATGTTAAATGTGAAATAATAAGTTTATATATATATATATATATATATATATATATATATATATTAGAAAATTATTATAAGTACTTAAAAAGTAATTTTAGTGAAATTACTTTATTTGTTTTTTCACAAACATGTTATTTTAAATAAACAAACAATTAATTATAAAAAATCAGTTTTTATTTAAAAATGCGAACTCAAATAATGTTAAATTTTTTATATAATTAAATTATGATCATTCCAAAAGAAAGATAACATTAATTTGAAGTGAAAATGAAGTGTGAGAAATATAGTAAAAAGCTGCAAAAATAAAGTATTGTTCATAGTTACAGGTGGGTAGGGGATGAAAAGGCGATGATAGAGCTATAAAGAGGTGTCCGAGATGGTGGGGGCATCACACCAATCCAGAGAAATCTATTTTCTTCGGCCAACTCCCGCTTTCACAAGCCCCAACTCTCTCTCGTCGTCACTGTTTATTTCAATTCCAATCCCAACTCATTTTTCTTCTGTGGACCCGATCTATCCACTTTTATCTCCTTCTGTTTATAATAAAATCTTCTTTTTCATCTTTTACAAGGTCTGGATAAACCATTTAAAGGAAGGAACATTCTGACATAGGAATTGCAAAGATAAAGGAACTGTGCTAGTTGGTTTATTATTATTATTATTTCTATTTCTATTTTGTTATAACGAAGATTATTATGTCAACGAATGAGTTGAGTTTTCACATATGTAACTATGTTACTTGTGTACTACTAGTGGTCCTAATAATTAATCTCAAGTAAATCAATTGAAAAAATAAGTTATAACTGCAAAAGTAACTTTTTTTTTTTTTAATAACCATGCATCTGATCACAAGTTTTTTTTTTTATTTCAAATATGTATATATATAGTATAATGTGTTGGATTTAATTTGTTTAAGGTTGAGGTAACATAAATAATTTTAATTGACCAGAAAATACAGAGATAATACATTAAAAACTACTAAATACCTTTTCAAAATCAAAATCAAAATGAAAGTACCTTATACTCTCCTTTAAAACTAGTAAATTTATCTTCTTCAAAGTATAAAAGTATAAATTGAAAACTATATTTACCTTCATATGCAGTTCCTGAAAATTTTCATAAAAATTAAAACCTAAATAATTTAAAATAGGTTACAATTAATTAATCATGTAAATTTTTCATAATAATACATACACATCAAAATTAAATCGAATTAAAAATACACATACTTTTTTATTTTAACCTAAATTGAATTAAGAATTAAAGAATTGATGCAAAAATTAAAGAGGGTAATGATTGTGCAAGTGTTCCATGGTACACGTGTGTGCGTATCAGGTTGGCTCGATGGGTCGATGGAAACCAAGAAAAAGAAAATTGAATTGTAGAATTCAACAGCAAAACGCACTTTCCACACTGTAATTGATCTGCCACCATAAACAATGCACCATCATTGGCCATTGCTGCGCTAATGACGGTTTTCATCCCCTCTCTCTTTCGAGGTAACTTACTATGTTGTCTTTGTCATTGCTAAGAAACTGTTAAAATATATGTTCCTAAACAAATGCGACGCTAAACTTATAACTCAAATTTTGTTTTGCACAATACATCCAACAAGAACCTTACCTCAAAGTACAACGTCATTCAGACTCCTAAAATATCAGTGTTCCTTCAACCAGAATAAAAAAAAGAAATCAATGAGATAAGAAAGCAATTTTCCAAGATGGCAAATGTATATTAAAGTTGCACATCAGTATATGAAATGTTTATTATTTTAATCCAAAATTCAGAAAACAGTGTGACTTTAATTAGATTAGAGATGTAATTGACTTATTAGAAACTTTTTTTCAATTATAGACTAATTGGTCAATGTTTTAAAAGTGTCCAACCAAAATAGTTTTTACAAATACAATGGATAAAAATATCAAGTCTATTTCACTCTGTCGTATCATTTATTATTTACTGTTTTAAAATTATATAAATATAAATTGAAAAATAAACAATCATAAGATAATGAGTAACAATTAGATTTTATTTACTGAAATAATAAAATAGTATAAAATTATAAAAATCAAGATATAATAACTATACATTAAGATAAATAACTAAATTCTATTTTAAAAAAATTATCAAAATAATTTATACCTAACAATTTTAATTTTATTAAAAATACTTTAAATTAAGTTACACAAAAGTTAACAGTAAAAAACACCTGTTCAAAACCAGTTTTTTAGTTCGGTTTTGGAGTCCCCATCCTTTACTGACTTTTGGAGTTAACATAGTGATGATCAAACTGATTAAGATATTAGAAACAATAGAAAGCATAAGAAAACCCTGTCTGTTGAAAAGCAAAAACAATACACATTATTTTCATATTTGTTTCACATGGACATCCCCGCACAGGCTTAGAATATAACTTTAACAGTTGGTGCTGTGTGGGCACCACCATATTTTCTTTGCCAAACAGCTAGCAGGAAATGGAAAGTATCTGTGCTTTGTGTCAAAAAAACAATATCTGAAGGGATCTATACAAAAATACTAATTAGTAATCACTCATATTGCTAAATTCTGTTACTATAACTAACAAATTGTTGAGAGAACCTTTTTATCAGGCAACAACCCAACCAGTGAGCTGGCAGGTGCCATCGTGATACATGGCCTGTATTAAAAGTTACAGCCTCGGCAAGAGAAATATAATTGTGTATTGGAGTTCTATCCTCGTTTCTCATGAGGAACAAGGCCTACATTTATCATCAACAAAACCAAAATCCCAGAATGACCCTGCATCATGAATGAAAAGTGAAAACCAGAATCAATGCTTGTCCAGTATAATGCCTGAAAACCTAAAGTTTGATAAGAAATACGAGAAATAGAAAAAAAAATAAAAATAAATTGTCCCACCCATTACAATCATATTATATTTTCATGTTTGAAATCATATTCAGAAACAGAATTCAATTCTTAAATCCACCTAATCCTATCCTTCTTTGAAAATCAACAGTAAGAGATAACAAAATTAAGATTGTAGCAATGGAATAAACTAAAGAGTAACTCTTCACTGTTAATGACAAAGCATGTTGCTTAACTGCAACATAACCACTAATTGCTTGCATTCAATAGAACTAATGGTTACATTATAAATTTGTTATTTACTTTTAGTCTCTGACCAATGAATCTTAAAATGAAAAAATTAAAACAAAACATTCACATCCCACTTTAGGTGAGAGATAATTAACTCTGGCCTAAATCCCTCATTCAGGGCCCCAGCAAATGTGTGCAACATAATTCAGACATTTTTTATAGCAGAACAATTAACAACAGAACAATAATAAAAAGCTGACTTGCCTGCATCATGTACCACTCTTCAAATTCATCAAACAATTACAGCCGTTCAATCCTAAACATAAAGAATCAACAATTAGTAACTTGAAAGAAACAAACTACCAACCATAAAGTAGATAGAAAGTGTAGAGGGGAAAGAGAATCAGGAAAGAACTGTGTTACATATGAAGATATGAAATCAACCAGTTCCATCATATGACAATCATAAGACATAGATAGAGCATAGTACCATCTATAGATTAAAATGCTATATAAATACAAAACCGGGAAAAATTCTTCCTTAAAAGAGAAGCCAAGAAATCAAAGCTTGAAAAAACAACAAATATCACTGATGCTTTTAGGCAGAAGTTGGGGGACCACCACCCTTTCACCCTAAGAAATTTGGTTATTTTCATCCTTATGTTCGTACATAGTTACTTTAACAAACATATTAGTCTATTACCCAATCGAAAGAATATTTGTGCTCTTAACAGTGTATTATTACTGTACTGCTGGCCCAGCCAGACACAGCAAAAGACCATGATGGATATCATAAAGTTATTCTTCTCTAATCTTTGCAGGCCCAAGGCAATTGACAATTAATAAATCTACTGTTATTATTAATCAGTAAACAGCCTTTCGCATTAAAACAACAGCAAACACCACAAAATTTTGAATTCAATACACAAACTTCTAGTTCTAATTCTTCGAGCGAAAAAGCAAGTAGAGAGGCAGAATTTTTGTTTTTGTCATGTTGTCAAAGTGTAGAACAATAAAAATGGATGACAAGTCTTTGATCGAATAGAAAAAATACCTGGGTCTTTCTTGAGCATCAATAAAATCATTATGAACTCTCAGCATGTCCCAGGCTTCTAATCATCAATTAAATCATTATAAGCTTGTGTAAATACACACAATATTGCTGTAGTTGTCCAACTATTAAATTCAGAATAATTGTCATTTAATAAAACTAACAAAACATGAAATTCACATGAGAACAAAAAGAACAGAAGAAGAGCAGAATAAGATATCACTACTGTCTTTAAAACCTCTTTTGAATTAGAACTTCCTGCGGTTTTATAATCATTCCCATCTTTTCCTAGAAGCAGCTGATGCCTCCAAATAAATAAATTATATACGATCGGCAACAGAATTTCACAATTGTACACAAGAGAACAAGAGATAGAAAGAGAGGTGACTCCCAATAAACAACCAGAAAAAAAAAACTGCATTGGGAACTAAAACCTTTGAAAGGTATTCATATTTTGTTGTTCCGTAACATTTAAGGAATACTTGTACATAGGCATACATCATAGAACATATATAAGTGAACCTAAGAAATAAGTACAAGGAAAAAAATTAGAACTAGTGGTGACAAAGACAAAGAAAAAGAGAATGAAGGAAACATTTTTCATCACCAATAGGCAACAATAAACCTATAACAGTGTGATTAAAAATGATAAGATAATTTTTGCACAGAAGCTTTAGACAAGTGCAACTGATTCAGTTTAGGTGAAAAAGTACGACTTTGTTCTACAATTAGAGCAGTATTTATACAAAGGCACAACAATATCTATCCAAACTATCATTTGTGCAATCAGAATAAATGGGAAAAACAAAGAGAAAAAGACCAGAACCAGGAGAGAAAGCCAAAATCTTAGTCACAAAAGCTCACACGGCATGTATACTGCATGGAGTCTTGCATATCTATATACCTAAAACAACAATATCCTTCTTCCTCTAATTCAAATATTCTAGCACTCTCTAGTCACTAATAAGAAAAGACAAGTCCAAAAGACATGAATTTATTAACTGGTAATCAGTAATTTAGCATTATTATTCAAACAATATTCCATATTCATGCATCGATGCACCTCATCCATTGTCCATATTTCTTAAACTTAAATAATTAACCCACATAGTTTTGAGATTCCACCTCCAATTTTTTTTTTTAATTTTCAGCTAAAAACACATTCGTGGCATGACAACTTAAGTTTCAAAATAGTCCTTGCTACCAATCCCTTTGTCTTATGTCGCACAAGGTACAATATTCTTTCCCATAAAATTAAGATTAAAAACGTAGCAGGCATTTAGCACAGGAGTACCAACAGGTATGAAAAGAAAAGTGTCCTCATAGCAAGTTAAAACACAAAATAAGATTTTAACAAGATTTAAAATCAATAGCTTTTGGATCAATATTAATTCAATCCAAACCTTCACTCAATCCACATGTCTCCAAAACATAGCAAACCTAGAGTCCTAAAGGTAGAAGCAGATTAACTCTTAAGTACTTGTGAAGTACTTATTATAAGAACTCACAAAGAAACCCAGTCACTTGCAACTGAAAATATGTTGTGCCAAAGCCTGCTGCGAGTGATAATATCTGCTTCTTTAGAGAGGCATCTTCATCTGATTTCTTATCCACATCAAGAAACTGATAGAGAAGTTTCCGAAGAGCACCCTCGCAAGCAAAGTAACCTATATAATCACAAAAAAAAAAGAAAAATACAAAAGCACCAACAAACTACTAAGTAAAAGCGCAGGTAGTTAAACAAGTGAATTCCTTAAAGAAGATAAGTCCTACCACGATTAATAATTGGAGATCTCCCAACACGCCTTCTCACAAATAAATGAATGTAATAATCTTTCATGTATCTCTTTTTTACACATGAACTACAGCCAGTTTATAGAGATTAAATAGTCATCAAAATATTAATCACCAAATAAAAGAATCATTCATTGTATGTGGTAAACAACATTATAATTATTTAATCTCTGTTAAAAGCTGAATACAAGATCAAATTGTGACCAAATACGAGAAAAAAAAAAAAAATCAAGTATGAGCATTATCTGAACCAATGTGACATGGATTGTCATACGTACATGGTACGTTCCTTTTCCCAGAACACAGAACAGGAGAGTAGACTTAATCAGATTCTTATTTGGGATCAAAATTCATATAGAACTGATTCACTATGCATGAGCTGCAATCGGTATTCCTACGAGGTGGAAAAACATTTGGATAGTCAATCCAAGAAAAGTAATTTATCCAGTCAATGCTTCCTCAAAACCAACGTTTTAACTTCTGAGCATGGCAACATGGCATGCCATGAGTAATCAACATTCTTTCAACATACTATACAAAGTTACATTTCATCAGAAACCAAAAGGATTTTATGCCACTAAAGAACCATTCAGTACTATTGAGACAAGATTCAGCTAGATTAGGGCTTATGCTTATTCGCACTGGCATCTTCAAAAGGAACCATCTAGGTTACCCTTCTACGATATTCATTTTGCCACGTCTGAATGCAACCTTCTGTCACAACAACCTTGACAAGCCAATCTAGAGAAAACACACAAAGCAAGAAACAGAAGAATAACATCTCTCTCTCTCTCTATATATATATAAAATAAAAATAAGTGGGAAGGATGAAGCAATTCCCATAAACTAATCAAAACATAATAAAATTCTATTTCATTTTTTTCGGAACATGCTTAAAAAAAGCAGCTTCTAGGTAAACCCGTTCCTAACTCACCAAAAAAAAAATTCGCATACATTAGTCTAAGGTAAAAAAAAAAAAAAGAGAGAGAGAGAAAAGGAGATGTGCGAACAATTTGCTGGCGGAGGCGTCATCGTTGGTGTCTTGCACCGCTGTAGTGTTGCTGTGCGAATCGTACATCAAAGGTGATCGATCCCTATCTTGTTAGGTTTTGGAATGGAGAAGGGAATCACAACAACACAACCGGCTTTTGGCGCCGATTACAAAATAAATCAAAAAATTGCATTTCCCTTCCAACAACAAATACTTATATAATTATAATAAATAGATGTTTTTAAATTTACGAATAATGTTCTAATTAAAATTATGTTCCATTATTAGCTTAAATATTTTTAAATCGGGATCCTTAGTTATTTTTAAATAGAGGTGAATAAACAATAACAATTATCCAGGCACAGAACTCATTGGGATTTTTTTAGTGAATCATTTGGGTTTGGATTTATTTACTATGTTAACTCCTAGTTACAATTTAGTAGCTCTGGTTGTTAAAAGTTCAGCGTTCATAAATACGTAAACTTTAGTTTTAATTTTTCTGAATATGTATCAGGATTAACATAATACTATTAGCAGTTATGGAACTAGATGGCATGACATGTCATTTTAATCCGATCAGATTAAATTGACTTTCTGGCATCTCTTATGAAAATTGAAGTATTATTAATAAAAGTTTTATCTTTAGTCCTTTAAAAAAACCATTACAGTTAAGTGTGCTAGTAAAATAGAATATTTATGACATTTTATATATATATATATATATATATATATATTTTACAAATATGTTAACAAAATAATTAAAATATAATTTTATAAAATTTATGTATAAAATTAATTAATAAAAAATTACCAATTTATTTTTAAAAATATTTAAATTACGTAAACAAATTCAGTTATTTTAAAAAAAATATATATTAAGCAATTATATATATTTAAATATAATAACAAAATTTGTTCAGAATTAAATAATATATTATTAATAAATAATAAATAAATATAAAAAATCAATATTATAAATATATATTTGCTAATGAATAAGTTTAGGAAATAAAATCATAAATTATAAAATTAATATTAAAATTCATAGAATAAATAATAATAATTAGTTTTGATTAGAATGAGCATGAATACGATGGTACATAAAGAACTTGTAGGGGCAAAGAAGAGAAGAGAGAAGGTCCCTTGTTCTACCATTACCGTGAAATTCAAATTCGAAACGAAAGCAAATCGAATTGATTTTGTTAGAAGATGGAGAAGAATCAATCGAAAATAATCCAACACTTCGTGAAGCAAGCCTTTGCTTCCTCCAGCGCTAACGCTCTCGCTTCTGTCCTTGTTGAAGCCACTTCTCACCGCAAACTCTTCATTTTCTCAGAAATTCTCTCCCTCCCCAATCTTCAACAGGTTCTTCTCTTCCTTCTTTCCTCCGCACTTTTTTAAGGCTTTACCTCATTTCTTTCTCCTTTGCTCTTCCTCATTACCATTACAATCCTCCTATGAGTTGTTGTTATTATTTATTATTATTTGAGTCTAAAAGTGATGGTAGACTATTTGCTCAGGGATTTGGAAAAGAATCTGACTTAATAATTCTCTGGTTTATTGACTTATGGCGTTCGCGTTCAGTGTGTAACAATAATAATAACAATAATAATAATAATAATAATAATAATAATAATAATAATAATATTTTTATATATAAATTATTTAATAAAACAGTTATAAAAAAATGTAAACAATTAAACATACATATAAAAAAATTCATTAAAAAATTACTTGAAATAACTATTGTTTTATTTAAATAATTCCTATTAAAAATGTTCTTAATTTATAAATTAATCGTATATTCTTGTTTTATAGTAAATAATAATAATAATAATAATAATAATTATTATTATTATTATTATTATTATTATTATTTATTAGTTTTGGAAATTTTGCTGTCCATATTTTAGTTAATATGGAAATTTGTGAGTGACATGAGACCGATTATCTTGTCAATTTTGTTGTGAATGAGTTCCTGAATGTCCTGCTGTAATATTTTCACTCGTGATTTCTCGCAGCTTGCAGAAACTGAGAATTCTGTATACTTTGATATGCTTCGGTTGTTTGCACATGGAACATGGAGTGATTACAGAAGTAAGCCTTTGGATTTGCTTTTATGTTATTTTTTTCTCTCCCTACATTATGATGGGTATTTTCCTTCGTCATTGTTTGTTTTCTTTTCCAGCACTAGTACGATTGTTGATGTATTAGATAAATCAGAAATGATATTTTGACATCAAAGTTACATACCACTCTTTTAACCAACCATCTTTTAATATTATTATTAGATAAATAAATATAGCAGCAAATAGCATCTACCTTTTACTATGTGATGTGACATGTTTATGATGAATAATGAATTTTGAATTTATAATCCTTAATGAGAACACCGGATATGTTAGCGTCTTGAGATGGAAAGTTGTAAATTCTGTAAGATGGTCATACGAAAGGATGATTGAAGAATAAGCAAACTAATAGGCTAGCTATTTAATTGTTTTGCATTTGAAGTTGTCATTTGTTTGTCTACAGTGACTATTATTTTTAGATATTTGATTGTTTTAGAATTTCTCTTTTGTGTATTTTCTTTATAATGTAGATGAAGTTGTGTTTCTTTAGGCGAGTTTTACCCTTGACATTAGTTTGTAGTTTTTTTTTTCCATAAAAATCTGCAGGGCAGTTTAGTTGTTAGTATATTGTAGTTTTTTGACGTGATTGCTATGTTTTTGGATTTGGCTGCAGCACCATCAATTTGGTGAGCCGGATTTGTCATTTTTTTACGTGTTGCCTTGAACTAATATTAGTTATTGACCTCACTAGTTTCTTAATCCTTCTCGTAGTTATTATTAAAATTACTGACTTATAAAAAGTTACAGGTACATGTGAATATAAATAATATAAGGGATGCATGCACGTACAGAAGTATACTTTTTATTTTGTAATTTATCGGTCATAGCCCACAATTACTCTCGTATGCTATGTATATCTAGGATCACAATTAAACTTTTATATATGGGATCGATTTGTCTCATGCTTCACAGAGGAAAAATCAAGTTTATTAGGGTATGGTCATTTTTTTTTACTTCAAAAAAAAAAACAAGAATAAGGTAATGTAACATTTTATCTTTGTATTTAAATTTAAATTTTAAAATTTTTAAAATATTTTATTTTTTTATATTATTTTTTTAAATTTCATAATTTTTATATTTTTTTACTTAATTTTTATCTTTTTTTATTTTTTAGATTAATTTATTTATTATTTTTATCTTTTTTATATTTTTTTAGTTTTTTTAATCAATTTATTTTATTCAATCTTTTCAATAAATTTAAGAATTATAAAACTAATTTTTTTATTCTTTTCTTTTTTAAATATTCTTTATTAATCTTATTTTTTTATTTCTAATTTACTTTTATTATGTTTTATTATAATATATTTTTTAGATTTTATTATTCTTATTTATTATATGTCAAATATCTTTAATAAAACAATTATATTTTAAAAAATTAAAAAAAATTAATAATTAAAATTTTTATCATTTTTAATTAAATAAATAAAAAATAATTTATTAAATATCTTTTCATAAAACATATATTTCATATTTATAAATATTTTAAAATATTTTAAAATAACAATTTAAAAATAATATACTTATATATAATCAAATATTTAAATATTATATAATAATAATATAAGTATTTTATATTTATATAAAAAATAATTAAATCTTTCTTTTATTTATGTTTTAATAAAAATATAATAAATAAAAATATATATTTAATTAATAAAAATTAAAAATTTATAAATATTTATTTTTATATAAAATATATATTAAAAAATATTTAAATTAATTTATTATATATATAATTATTTTGTAAAAATAATATGAAATAAAAAAATCTAAAATCTAATTCACTTGAAATAAAGGCTTAATTTATAATCCCACGTGCTTAAAATAACTGGGGACGGGATCGGATACACAAAACCAACTCGCCTTCTTTCCATGCCTAGTGTATCCTCTGTGATATAAAACAGGCCTTCATACACCTCATATTAGTTTCTCTTTTTCCGTTTGCAAACAATATCACTACGAGAACTTGTACATTTATCTCCTGTAATGATTTTGATATTTATTTTAGCATCTGTGTTTTCATATTAATTTATATGTAAGTAAAAAATAATATAATATAATATAATAGTGTTTATTAAAAAGTTTAAGTGGCTCTAGGTAATGCCGATCGTCTTCCACTGTTGTTACCTGATCAGATCCTCAAGCTTAAGCAACTTACTGTTCTTACACTGGCTGGGACATACAAGGTATTTTTTTCTTTTCAGATCGGCGGGACAAACGAGGTATTTCCTGTTCCACCCGCTGTTATTGGCTATCTTGTGTTACTATTTTACTTGATAGCTGTTATCGAGGTGATCACTTTATATATATATATATATATATATATATATATATATATATATATATATATATATATATTTATTGTTTTCCACTTATAAAAAATATTTCGACGTTTTTGTTTCTACATCAAATATTTTCGTCAATGGTGAGATCTCCAATGATATTCTTAGTTTTTGATTTACAAGTCTTACTTCGATTAAGAATAAAGATTAAGAAATAAGAATAATTTATATATATATATATATATATATATATATATATATAATTGTAGTTTGGGTGAAAAGTGAATTCTTTCTGCTCTGTGGCTTGTGATTCTCCAACCCCCACCCCTTCGCTGTAGCGTGCTAGGTCCTGAATATAGGGGCTTATGCCCTGAAGGTTATCATGGCTGTTTTGTGATGCAGTACTTTAAATAAAAGAAATTGTTGGACTGAATTGTAATTATAAAGACTTATAAGTAGTAGTATGTTAGACGGTTAGAAAGGAGAATAAATAGCTCGTTGTGAAAAGTGGAGGGTAATTTTTGGAGAGAAAACAATTCTTGTAATATGCAACGTCTCATTAATATTCACGTTCAGTTTCCATTCTAGAATTTGGATTCCTTATATTTTGTGGTAGTTCTTCGAGAGTCTCTTCCTCTCCTAGTTTTACTGTTACATTGGTATCAGAAGTAACCTTCCGACCACGATTCCACCATGGCTAATAACACAAAAAATCAAGCTCTCTATTCCATTGGTAGAAGATTTGTTAGATGAATTATCTGGTTCAACTATCTTCTCTAAAATCGATTTACGATCCGGATATAATCAGGTACGAGGTACGAATGGTGGATGAGGATGTCTATAAAACTGCTTTCAAAACACATGCAGGACATTATGAGTATCTAATAACACAAAAAATCAAGCTCTCTATTCCATTGGTAGAAGATTTGTTAGATGAATTATCTGGTTCAACTATCTTCTCTAAAATCGATTTACGATCCGGATATAATCAGGTACGAGGTACGAATGGTGGATGAGGATGTCTATAAAACTGCTTTCAAAACACATGCAGGACATTATGAGTATTTAGTCATGCCATTTGGTTTGACTAATGCCCCTGCAACATTTCAAGCCTTGATGAACACTGTGTTTCACAAATTTTTGAGAAAATTTCTTTTGGTATTTTTTGATGATATCCTAATCTACAGTAAAAGCATGAAGATCACTTGATTCATCTGCATCGGGTCTTACTTGTTATGAGGTCTAATGCTTTATATGCTAAGAAGTCTAAATGTTACTTTGGGGTTAGTAGCCTGGAATACTTAGGACACTTTATAACTAGTGAAGGAATTTCCGCATATCCTGCAAAAGTCGCAGTGGTGAGGCAATGGCCATTACCTCAGTCATTAAGGCAATTAAGGGGTTTTCTTGGATTAGCAGGGTACTACGCAAGGTTTGTGAGCAGATATGGCACCATAGCTAAGTCTCTCACAGATATGTTGAAGAAGAATAGTTTTTGTTGGTCTCAGGAGGCAAAGCTTGCTTTTCAATTCCTCAAAGATAAATTGAGTCAAGCACCAGTTTTGACTTTACCCGATTTCTCTAAAGTTTTTGTGGTGGAGGTTGATGCTTCCGGTTTGGGAGTGGGAGCGGTGCTAATGCAGGATCATCATCCCATAGCATTTTTCAGCAGAAGTTTAAGTTAGCAGCAACAAGCCCTGTCAGCATATGAAAAAGAATTACTCGTCGTGGTGTTTACGGTCCAGAAATGGCGGCATTACTTGCTTCACAAACAATTTATAATTAAGACTGATCATAGAAGCCTTAAGTACATCTTGGAGCAAAGGTTCTCAACAGCTTTCCAACAAAAATGGTTGGTGAAGTTAATGGAATTTGACTTTACAATCGAATATAAACAAGGTATGGAGAATGTGGCTACTGTTAGTTCCAAGAAAGAACAACTAGGAAAAAGGGCCTTATTCGTCCCTAATTTTATTGATATTCAGAAAAAAAGTACACAAAGGAGACTACTCCTTTCACACTGGAGACGATCCAGTCAAAAAGCTACAATCCAAAAGTATATCCTAACATCTAAACAAGAGTCCTATTTATAGAAGATTGATGTGCACAACATAACTAACATTTAGAAATAACTAACTAACTGTTATAGAAACAAATTACAGAAATAGATTTAATTCCTATTTGTTCTCCTCTTCCTATAATAGACCTATAATGTTCTATCTATGTCTTGTGTTCCTTGAGGTCTAACAATACCTCCCACCTCTAAAACAACCTTGTCCTCAAGGTGAAAATTTGGAAATTGAGTTTGAATAGTAGTTGAATTCTCCCACGTTGCTTCTTCTTGTGAATTTCCTTGCCAGCGAATGAGAACTTGAGGCACGTCAATCCCATCTTGGGAGATTATTCTGCTGTCAATTATAGCTTGAGGTTGGTAGGCTGCTTGTGGAATTGCTAATTCTGATGGTAAAGATGCTTCCACTTGGTGATCGCCTATGGCCTTTTTTAACTGAGAGACATGAAATACCGGATGTATGCGGGTTTCTACTGGTAATTGTAATTTGTACGCCACAGCTCCAATCTTTTTGGTGATCTGGTAAGGTCCATAATATCGGGCAGAAAGCTTGGGGTGTAGCTTGGTTGGCATGGATGTTTGACGATGCGGCCTGATTTTTAAATAAACATAGTCTCCCGGTTGAAATTCCACCGATTTCCTATGAACATTGGCATATTGAGTCATCTGATCTTGAGCACGTTTTAAATGGAACTTTAATTGCATTAGAGCTTCATCTCTATCCTGAAGATCTTGTGCCACCGCCTCTACCAACGTCTCTCCTGGAATAAACCGAGCTAGGGAAGGAGGAGGTCGACCATACACGACTTCAAAAGCCGTACATTTTGCTGAAGCTTGAAAACTTGTGTTATACCAATATTCTTCCCATGGTATAAAATCAGCCCAACTCCTAGGTTGTTCAGAACTGAAACAGCGTAAATAAGTCTCAAGGGTTCTATTTAAAACCTCTGTTTGAGCATCTGTTTCTGGGTGGTAAGCTGCAGACATTTTCAGTTGAGTCCCTTGTCGTATAAACAATTCTTGCCAAAAGTGACTCATAAAAATAGGATCCCTATCACTAACAATCGAAGTGGGAATCCCATGCAGCCGTATAATCTCCTTCACAAATATGTCAGCAATAGATTTAGCGGAGTAAAGGTGTTTGATTAGTATAAAATGCCCATACTTACTTAATCGATCCACCACTACCATTATAGCATCGAACCTTTGGAGCGGGGTAAACCCACTATGAAGTCCATGCTGACTTCCTCCCAAATGGCATTAGGGACAGGTAACGGTTGTAATAAACCTGCTGGGGAGGAGGCTAAATACTTACTGCGTTGGCACACGTGACATGCTGCGACATATTGGGTAATCATATTTTTCATACCGAGCCAGTAAAGAGATTGAGCCATCCGTCTGTAAATTCTATATATTCCCGAGAGTGGCCTCCTGTAGATGAAGCATGAAACTCATGTAATAATTTGGGTGTCCATGAAGATGTAGCCGATAATACAAGTCGACCCTTGTAGTGTAACCGATCATTTTCCAATGTGTAATGTTTATAGGCATTAGAGTTGTGAGATATTGCAGCTCTGATTTTGTTCAATGCTGGATCATTTCTGACTTCCTCATCAATATCTGTGATGTCTTGCCAAAAAGGCCTAGAAAGTCCCTGTAATTCTTTATCCTCCTCAATTCTAGAAAGAGCATCAGCAACTTTGTTAGAAGCTCCTACTTTATAAACTCATAGCCGAGAAGTTTAGCCAACCAATTTTGTTGGTTTTGAGTGGTGATCCACTGTTCCAGTAAATATCGGAGGCTCTTTTGATCAGTGAAGACAGTAAATTTCTGTCCTAAGAGGTACGGACGCCAGTGCTGAATTGCTAAAACTAAGGCCATTAATTCCATTTCATAGATGGATTTCATCATATTAGAATCAGCTAAACCTTTGCTAAAAAAAGCAATAGGTTTCTTTTCTTGAGTTAACACTGCTCCTACACCCTTTCCTGAGGCATCGCACTCGATTTCAAACTGTTTGGTGAAATCAGGCATGGCTAACAGAGGTGCTTTCGTAACAGCCTTTTGTAGTCGTTTGAAAACGGCAGTGCTTTGATCAGTCCAGGTAAAACTTTCCTTTTTTAACAAATCTGTTAATGGTCTAGCAATCTTGCCATAATCACTAATGAAGCGGCGATAGTAATAGGTGAGGCCCAAAAACCCTTTCAAAGCTTTGACCGATTTTGGGAGTGGCCATTGTAATATTGATGCAATCTTTGAAGGGTCCATTGACACCCCGTCTTTGGTAATAATATGGCCTAAATACGCCACTTTTGTTTGTCCAAAACTACATTTTTTCTTATTAGCAAACAAACATTGTTCTTGTAGCTTGGTCAACATCGCTCTCAAGTGTTGTAGATGTTCTTCCCAAGTTCTACTATAAATTAGAATGTCGTCGAAGAATACTAACACAAACCTGCGAAGGAAAAGCTTGAGTATGGAGTTCATTACACATTGAAATGTAGCTGGCGCATTGGTCAATCCAAAAGGTGGGTTTGGCTTGGGCGATTAATAATTCGAATTCTTGGGCATAATCTTCCACATTGCTGGTTTGTCGGAGAGTTGCTAACCTTTCATACACAGTACCTCGACCATTTTCCCCATATCTCTTTAGCAATGCTTTTGAAAAGTCTTCCCATGATGGATTTTGTTCTTCGTTACGCCAATATTGGAACCAATGGCAGGCCTTTCCTTCCATACTAATGAATGCTAAACGTAATCGCTCTGACGGTTTAACTTGATGGACTTCGAAAAATTTGTCTGCTCGGGCGAGCCATCCCAAGGGGTCACTCCCTTCAAATGCAGGAAGAACGAATTTCTTTAACCAAGAATGTGTTGAAACGTCCTCATCGTGGCTCTCATTGTCGCTGGAAGTCGGTTTTGTGGTGCTAGAATTGACATCATCGTTGTAGGGTGTTTTTTGGGATAGGCACTCCATAATGAGGCCACGGAGTTGGTTCAAATCAGGTAGTTTTTCTTTGATGTAAGCGACATCTTTCTGTAATTCGACCAATCTGATGCCCTGGTTCTTGATTGTCTCTTCAGCTGATTGCAAGCGGTAGGTCGGACCAATTGTTAGTTCCAAGAAAGAACAACTAGGAGAAAGGGCTTTATTCGTCCCTAATTTTATTGATATTCAGAAAAAAAAGTACACAAAGAAGACTACTCCTTTCACACTGGAGACGATCCAGTCAAAAAGCTACAATCCAAAAGTATATCCTAACATCTAAACAAGAGTCCTATTTATAGAAGATTGATGTGCACAGCATAACTAACATTTAGAAATAACTAACTGTTATAGAAACAGATTACAGAAATATATTTAATTCCTACTTGTTCTCCTCTTCCTATAATAGACCTATAATGTTCTATCTATGTTTTGTGTTCCTTTAGGTCTAACAACTACTCAATGTAGCCCTTTAGCCAAGAGGGCTTTCGGGTCTTTCTTTTTGGCCTTTGTGGGCTTGCTATCACTTTGTTTATGATTTCTCCTTGCTGTTTTGCCCAGGATTATTTGAGAAATTAGTTTTCTATTCTTTGGAGGATACCTTTTTTCTTTAGTTACGCTTTGGAGAATATCTTATCCTCCCTTTAGCCTTCTCCAAACTTATAAAAAATGAAGAGGAGTCGGGCTCTTAGAATCTATTTCTTGCTTTTGTATAGGATTGTTTGATAGAAGTTGTCATTTTAAATTGTGTCATCTCTTTCTATGTTCCATAGAATATGAGTAACTTTCTGTTAAATTTTTGCTGTTTGACACTGAGCTCTTTATCTTTTGACATTTGTAATCAATTTTTACAAGCCTGTTTATTTTTCTCTAGGTACTACCCTATGACAAACTGATGCAGGAGTTAGATGTGACAAATGTTCGTGAACTTGAAGATTTTTTAATTGATGAATGCATGTACCTGGTAGGCATCATTTTCTTCAAGATAATATACTTCTTGTCAAACTCAAATGTGGTAATATTAATTGAATGTGCATTTACGCAATCATTATTTTGATTATTTATTCAATTGCTATTATAATAAAACAATTCATTAGAAGAGGGAGAGGAGTATGAGAGTATAATAATAACATCAAATCTTTCTATTGGAAACAGGAGAGAGAGTTTAATACATCTATTATGCTGCTATTTAATTCATGTGCAAGAAAACATCAGCAAAAGCCATAGTAAGTTTCATAAATCACATACAATCTGCTAAAGGAAATATCGGAAAAGGTTGGGAATTATTTTTTACAAGATCTTTTTTGGTACATCTTTACAAGATCTTTGCATATAAAGTAAACAATTTGTGTTAATACCAATTGGTATTACAATCCAAGCAACAGCTACTGAGGGATTTGAGAACATTGTTGCATAGTTATGTGATTTATCTATTTTGTACTGTTAATGCCTAGGGATATTGCATATAATGGTCTTCCTTCCCCTTTATTTGTTTTATTAGATTTTTCATTGTTATGTGATTGATCTATTTTTCTTCTAAGTTTTATTTATATTTTATCTGCTGGCTTGTGCTATTTTCTTTTATAACTTGTTCATAACACTCATTCTTTAGAAAATGTAAGATAATCAAATTAATAAGTTTTATTCATTTAATCAGGGACTAGTGAGAGGAAAGCTGGATCATCTGCGACAATGCTTTGTGGTCCTAGCCCATAATCATCTATCATTTTCTAAAAATTGCACCTTTGATCCCTTTTTCTTTTTAATCTAACCAGTCCCCATTAGGAATTTAGTTGATCGTTGAGGGTCATTCCAGGTCAAGTTTGCAGCACGTAGAGACTTGAGGCCCACTCAACTAGGGAGTATGATACAGACACTCTCTAACTGGTAATGCATTTTTTTCCAAGTATGAGATTGAATGTAGTCATGTGTGATTATTATTAAATAAACTACCTGTATGTGGAAAAAAAGTATTTGAATTGCCTCATCTGATGGTAAACATGGCTAGTGAGACTGAATAGTGGTTCTATCCGGGCAGAGCTGTAATCTCACTGCCTCGTTATTTCGGAACATTCAATTTTGGGAGTATGGCCTCTTTTGAAAATTGGCTGTATTCTAGTTTGCTTAGCATTCAAGCTTGATTGAAGTTGGTTTGAAATACTAATTATCAACATGTCTCAAATTTTGTATATTATAGAAAGCTTTGGGTTCTTAGGTTTTTTTGCTTTCCATTTCTGTTTATCTTGTTTATGGTTCAGAACTTTTCAAAATGATGACTATGTACGTTCTGCTATTTTTTAGAATGTGATGGAGTTTCTCTCCGAAATATTATTGAAATAAAATTTATGACTGGGAAACATAGGTTGTCTACATCAGAAAATCTGCTTGTTTCAGTTGAAGAGAAAATAAAGTGGGTTGATGCTAGGAATGAAATTGAGAAGAAGCACAGGAAGGATATGGAAGAGAACCTGCAAAAAGTAAAGAATAATATTCGTGCCAAGGTCAGTTGAATTTAGTTTCATCCTTTTTTTTCTCAGCATCCTCCCCTCCCTAATACAGATGAGAAAATGTCCAATAAAAAATGATTGCATGTAATCTTGATCTTGTATATAAGTTGTGGTTTGGTGCCATAATAGATGTATCTATCCTATGGGAGGCAGGATTATTTTGTGTGAAAGGTTTGTTTTGATTATGTGGAAGTTGCCAATTTTCCTTTTGTTCATTTGTGTGTTTTGGTATTGATGGTGGATGTATAATGCTAGCTAGAATTCTTATGGCCGAACCATTTACCAACTTCAAATAAATATCATGCAAATTGTCAACTTCAAATGATTGAAATACGAGGACTTTGATGAACTTCACGTGGAAAGTTCTGTGTTCTTTCTTCTATCCTTTCTCCTGTCTTTTCTAAGCACAATAATTTTTTGTTTGGAGTTGTATCTGAGCTAATTAATGTGGCCACTTTGCTTTGTACGAGTTGAAGCCAAATCCATATCATCTTTCCTTTTAGCTCTCGGCAACTGATGCCAAGTATATTTTGTTTATCTTAAGCATGTCAATAACAGAACCCTACTAAGATACCGTATGTTTACCATCATGGCCCGAAGTTATCTTATCAACAATCTAGAGAAACTGCCACGACCAACTTCTGGATAGCGTCCTTGCTTTAATCTGAAACTCAGTTAGCATACCTAGGGTCAAACCATTGAAAGTGTAATACCCACATATCCTTCTACTATTTTTACGTCCCATTTTTATTCTGGTGATTGCCTAGAAGTCACATGTGAAATCCTTGTACATCCTTTTTCATTGTTGCTGATTATCAGTACCTAGTTTTGGGGCATTCATGGGTGGAATTCTGACAGAACTTGATCAGAATTAGTAAGAAAAAATGGAAAAATTGTTCAAATCAATCCTCACATTGTAGCTCAATAGCAGATGGATTCATAAACGGAAGTGGTTATGACAAATTGCTGAAAAAAGTAAATATAATCCAGGTATTCGTGAGACCTGGACTTTCCCATTGGTGTTTGATTCAAATCTTACGTTCCTAGTTATTCTCTCATATTTATTCCCAGCCTTCTCTGTATTAGAAATTACTGTCCACTGGACAGTTACAATCTCTCTTTCTTTCTTCCCTATTTTTCACTACTCCATATTACCAATATTTGCCCACAAAACAGTTACAACTATATTAATAAATCCTTATGACTCTAATATTCTGTTACCCGTCTTCCTGTATCTCCCATAAACCTTCTTAAGGGGTGATTAACTAACAGATTTTCTATCTTTGAATGGAACCAATAAATATCTGTTGAACATTACAAAATATTAGCATAGATTTTTTTTTGTCTAAGGAGAAAAACTCAATTTCTTTATTGTCAATTGATAAAAAACAAAAAGAAAAAAGAAGTTTTGTGTGCTGGATTTGATACAATAATTTCTCACTTTGGACAGGACTATGTAAAGAATAAATTTGTAACCAAAGAAAAGGATGAATTATTACGAGGGTGGGAGACAAAATTACGCCAGAAATATAAAGCACTCTGAGATGATAACTGTCTGCATTGTAAACACACGTAAAAAGCTACTGAATAGAGAACAATACGTTTCCTCTTATTGTTCAAAAACAAGAAGAACGTGGTTTATATGCAATGAATAACGGACGTAACGAACTAAACAAATTTAACAACTCAATGCAAATACCCATGCATTTTGACTTAACTAACAACATGCCTCCTTAAGTCAAAAGCGAACAATACCCAGATACTCTCTAAGTTTACAGAATCTAGTAGCCTTTAAAGACTTTGTGAAAATGTCTACATTTTGGCATTCCATGCTGCAGTATTCCATCTCCAATTTATTGTCATTGACTTGTTCCTGCAAGAAGTGGAACCTAGTCTCTATATGCTTGCTTTTCCCATGAGCTAATGGGTGTTTGGTCAAGTCTATTGCAGACTTGTTATCAACGAGCAGTTTTGGTGGCTGAACCAGTTCTGCATGTAGCTCTTTCAACAACATTCTGAGCCATGCAGCTTGAGAAGCAGCTATGTACTCTGCTTCACATGAGGACAAAGCTACAACCGGTTCTTTGACTGAATTCCAAGAAACTGGTCCTTCCCCATAGTAAAACACGTACCCTACTGTGCTTTTTCTATCCTCCTTATCACTACACCAGTCCGCATCTGCATATCCCACTAACTCCATCACACTGTCTGACTTCTTGCACGGAAAGAATATCCCAAGATTACACGTCCCTCGCAGGTGTCGTAGGATATGCTTCACAACATTCATATGACTGTGCTTGGGATTTTGCATGTATCTACTGACTATGTCAACTCTATAATTCGAAACTGTTCTGGAGTTGCATAGATACCTCAGACTTCCTACAATTCTGCGAAATTCCGTTTGGTCAACATCCTCTTATTTGGTGCTTCTTTTCAGCTTTAGTCTCACTTCTGTTGGCGTGATCGCAACATTAGAGTATTTCATTCCAAACTTACCCAGAAGATCCCGTGCATATTTTATTTGATGCATGATGGTTCCAGATTTTGTGAATTGAAACTCAATTCCTAGAAAGTAGTTGAGTTTCCCAAGATCGCTCATCTCAAACTCACTAAACATTTGGGATTTGAACTCTGTTATAGCTTCTGGTTTGTTTCCGGTTACTAGCATATCATCAACGTAAAGACATATTATCATCCTTTCTTCTCTATCTTGGTTCTTCCAGCCTTTGGTATAGACTCCCTGTTCTGATACACACCTCACAAAGCCAATTTTCTGCAGAAACTTGTCAATCTTGTGGTTCCAAGCTCTCGGGGCTTGCTTGAGACCATACAAGGCTTTGTTGAGCTTATACACCTTGTGCTCCTGACCTTTTACAGTGAAATCCTATGGCTGTGATACGCAAATTTCTTCTTCAAGATAGCCATTCAGGAACACGGATTTTACGTCCAATTGATGCATAGGCCAATTCTCCCAGGTTGCGATTGCTACAATAATTCTCACGGTTTCCATTCGAGCTACAGGTGCGTAAATTTCTCCATAATCCACTCTAGCCTTCTGAAGGGGAATCCTTTGGCGACTAATCTCGCCTTGTATCTCACAATTTCTCCCTTTGAATTTGCCTTGATCTTGTACACCCACTTTAGAGTAATGGGTCTTCTGTTTGGAGGTAAATCTACCAATGTCCATGTTTCATTCTTCTCTATGGACTCAATCTCTTCCTCCATAGCACGTGTCCCGCGTTTGTTGTGAATGGCATCACAGAATTCTACTGGTTCTGCTTCAGCAATCAAAGCGAAGTGAATGAAATTTCCTTGCTCCGTCACAACCAAATCATTGAAGACTTCGTAATCCTTGAAGTGTATAGGTGGTTGTGTAACACGTGGTCTCCTTGCTTACTCATTAGACTCCTGTTGCACTGTTACATCATCTATAAATTCATCATTAAATGAAAGTATAGGTGTTGTACTTGGTTTGGTTCCCTGATTATCATCATGCCAATCCCAACATGAGCTTTCATCGACAATAACATCCATGCATATGATCACCTTCGGGTAACTGGATCAAACAACTTATAACCTCCTGTGGAGTGGTAACCAATTAGAACTGCCATAGCACCTTTATCATCAAGCTTGCTGTGTATTTGACCTGGAACTCGATGAAAACATAGAGACCCGAAGATTCTCATATTTGTGACATCTGGTTTTTGTCCAGACCATGCTTCCTCAGGCGTTACACCATCCAGCCTCCTCGTTGGTGATCTGTTTAGAACATATGCAGCAGTGGAAACTACCTCTCCCCACAAAAATTTTGGAACATTTTTGCTCTTGAGCATGCATCTCACCATGTTGAGCAGTGTCCGATTTCTCCTCTCTGCAGTGCCATTGTGTTGTGGAGTATAAGGAGGTGTTGTTTCATGACCTATTTCATTCTCCTCATAGTAGCTGTTGAATTTGTTAGAATTATACTCCCTTCCTACATCAATTCGCAGATCTTCAACTGTTTGCCACATTGTTTCTCAGCAAGTGCTTTGAATTGCAAGAAAACTCCAAAGGCTTCACTCTTCTTTCGTAAACAATAAACCCACAGTCTCCTTGTAAAATCATCAGTAAACGTGATGAAATATCTGCTACCACCTGGCGTCTCAACCTGAAATGACCCGCAAATGTCTGAATGCACTAGCTCGAGTTTTCCTGCAGTTTTCAGAGGCACATTTCTACTGAATTTGCTTCTTGTTTGTTTGCACTGCACGCACTCTTTACAAACTTCTTCCGGAATTAGAACCTGAGGCATACCAGCCACCATTTTCCTCTGACCAAGTTCTCTTAAATCAAGAAAATTCAGATGCCCGAACCTAAGGTGCCACAACCATTCATTCTTATCATTGGTAGCAACAAAACATTGGTGCTTCAGTGTATTCATTTTGACTTGAAATGTTCTGTTGGAATAAAGGTTGACATGTATGATAAACTTCTTGGTTTGATCATAAACGCGCAAGGAATTTTCCTTCAGTGTCATCCTAAAACCTTTTTGCAGTAACTGACCCAGGCTCAGCAAATTCGATTTCAAGCCTGGCACATACAGAACATTCTCAACTCTCACCTCTTTTCCTTCATGGTTCTTTAACACAACTCAACCAGCTCCTTTCGCAATGAGGAAACTATCATCTACAAAATGAATTCTTTCTTGACTTACCTCATTCAGTTGAACGAACCATTCCTTCTTTCCGATCATGTGCGTGGAGCAACCGGAGTCTAAATACCAAGAGTTCTCACTCTCCATTTTTACATTTGTTTCCGCCATCAACATGACAACCTCTTCATTGGAATTCTCTTCCTCCGCTAGATGAGCTCGTGAATATTTCTTTGGCTTGTTTTTGGCTCCGTCTCCATCCCTGTAGTCTCGTGCATAATGGCCAAACTTTTGGCAACTATAACATTTGACTTTCTTCTTATCAAATTTCTTCTCTTTCTCCTCTCTAGAACCCTGCATCTGTTCTTTGATTTTCTGCTCATCAGAATCACCTTTCTTCTTCATCTTGCCACCTTTCTTGAAGTCTTTCTTTTGCTTCCCATTCGTTCTTGCGTAAAGAACTTGCTCTTGATAGGATTTTTGCTCAGACATACGCAACTCATGAGCTTCGAGTGAATGTTGTAGCTCCTAGAAGGTTAGTGCATCCAAGTCTTTCGTCTCTTCAATTGTGATCACAAGATGGTTGAATCTTGGAGGTAGTGAACGTAGAATTTTGTTTACGATATGCTGTTTAGACACTTTGTCACCACAAGAACGCATACCATTGACGAGTTCCTGGATTTTGTTAAGAAACCCAACCACGAAATCATTATCCTCCATAATGAGGAGCTCAAATTGTCTTCATAGAGCTTGCAACTTCACTTTTTTATGTTTATCTCCAGCACCATACGTAGCAACCAAAATGTCCCACGCCTCCTTTGCCGTGTCTGCCATGGAAATCTTGTTAAAGATAGATGAACTTACGCACTGATAGATCAAAAACCGAGCCTTGCCATCAAATTTTTGTTGTATCTTGTAAGCCTTCTTCTCCTCCTCAGTGGCTTTGGCACCAGGTTGTGAAACGCCTTGTTCAATTACCTCGGCAACATCTTGAAAGATGAACACAACTTTCATCTTGATTCTTCAATCATTGAACATGCTTCCATCGAAAATAGGTAGGCCACCTTGAATGATGCCACTAGTCTCAGCCATGCTATGCCTCTTATCACCCTCCTGAATGTCTTAGAGTTATCTCGTTCTTTAACAAAGACGTAACTCCTTCCAATCTTAGAAAATGTACACATACTACTCTACACTGACCCAGCTAGCATGCACGCTCCAAGAATCGAATTTGGATCGTAAAAGCTCTTGATACCATGTAAACACACGTAAAAAACTACTGAATAGAGAACAATACATTTCCTCTTATTATTCAAAAACAAGAAGAACGTAGTTTATATGCAATGAATAACAGATTTAACGAACTAAACAAATTTAACAACCCAATGCAAATACCCATGCATTTTGACTTAACTAACAACATGCATAAATATCATATCCAACCAGCCGTTTTATCTCTATATTGACTTCAAATTTTGAGGGCAATTGTGCTGGGCAAGGATTTCTCGTTATACTTGTAATGAATGGAAAAATATTCAGTTAAATTTTTAGCCATATATAGCTGATGTATGCGGCAATCAACATCAAGATTATCCTATACAAGGATTTGAAGTTTTAATGGATAATAATATCTGCTAGACACACTAATAAAATTGGCTGTCTGATATGAATGTATAATAGTTCTAAGGCTTCGCGGTATCGAAGAACTATCCAAAGGAATAGGGAATTCTGAATAGAAGAAAGAATTCCGAATTTCTATAATACAGAACTGAAATTCCAAAGAATTGGTTGCAAGAATCTGCTAGTGCTTTGTTATTTTTTCCTATATATACCGAGGAGTCACTAACATAAAAATCCCTCATCCACTACTGAGGCCGGCTCATATCTATTAGCAATTTGCTATTACCCTTTCATTCCTGTCACTTTCATAATTTATTGTGCGGATATATTGGTCTACGTGTCTTACTTAATGGAAGAAGTTACACACTGTAAACAGGATATTGAGAGCGAAGAGGATAACGAAGGTCGCTGCCAACTGAAAAGGTATTCTTCGACAACTTTGCATTTACCATAGTATGAGTATTTAATTAATGGATAAATCATGTTTGAAGTTAAAATTGGTCTTAGTTTCTGAATTTTAAAAACAACGATTTTGGTCCTCTTATGTTTTATAATCGGTGAATTTCCTATCGTCTATCTTTTAAGGAACATAAGACATTAGATGAAGGACGAAATTCCCCTATTATACAAAAAGGATCAAAGTTATTATTTTTGAAGTATAGAAACTAGGATAAATTTTGGTAAAAAATTGGACTTAAACACGTTTTACTTTGATTAATTGTTTTAACAAAAATTATTGTCTATAATCAAATTAGGCATTTCATCGCCTGACTGCAATACTAAAAATATCTTCGGTTTTCAGTGGCCTATCATCTTTGATGAATGAAACTGGGTGTGAGTAAATATTTAACTTCTTAAATCTCCACATGCAATATTCATTAGAAGTTACATACACTTTCTACCCCTTCCCTTTTCTTTTGACCTGCGTCATTGTAACGAAAGTTGGATATGAATGTTTTCTAGCATATATTTCAAGCTATAATCTCAGTGAACTGCGCATTTTAACTAGGACAATAGTTTTTTCCTCTCGTATCTATTACAATAAAACTTGGAAAGTTTGCAGGAGGCGGCATATAACATTTGGAACATTGCGATAGATGAAGATGCGTATTGGATAGGTGTTTTTAGTAGCTTGCCTGACTGTTATTCTTGGCATGCCTCAACTGACAATACAGCTTTTAAAGACAAGTATATCTCATCGATACTGAACTTGTCTGCCAGATGTAAGAACAAGGCAAAAGAGGGTAGACCTTTTATTTCTCCAGGTTTATATTTTGGAAATTGATGATATACTGTTTTTCTTTGCCCTATGCCTCGTAGATACTGCCTCTTTATGGGTCTATACGATTCTTTCTTGGTTTTTTAAAAATTATTTTCTGGAAAGTTTTAAATACTAATTTTAGAGGATAAAAATAGGAGAAAATATGAAAATGTAAGTAATACAAAAATGAAAAATAAAGACCGAAATCAGAGAATTTTATTTTATTTTAAAAATTAAGAGTAATGAAAATAGTTCTATAAAATTATTCTTATTGAACACAAGCTTTTTTGTTTTTGAAAATATGAACAGTCAAATCTTAAGTGTATAATGCTGATGTCCATATTGGTAAACTATAGCTGATGTTTGTGTAAAATAATCCTCTTTTTGAAGTTACATTTTGTAACAAGTATTCAATAATGTGCATAATACCCTTCAAATTTTACATTGTCTCGAATAATTCTCCATCGTTAATATATTTTAAATTGTATGTTTTTATCATTTTTTTCTTCTTTTAAAATTATGTCTTAAATTTGTTTTTAAATATATTTTTTAGTTCAAATTAGTCATCAACGTTGTTTATAAAAAAAACCTTGGTAATTAGATTTTTTATCTTTTCAAGTTTGTCTCCTCCCTCTATACACTTTTAAGTTTGTCTTTTATCAACTTTGTCATAAGGATGATATATTTGTTAATTGACTTCTCAAGATTTTATTGCAAATTATGTTCTTTGTATTGGAATTGAGTTTTTTATATACTTTATCCTTTTGCTCTTCTCTTGTCTTTCAACCATCAAATTTCGTGTGTTTCTCCGTTCTCTTTAAAGAAAAAGAAAGCCTAGAGGGAATTAAATGAGATACATGTAGAAGTGCAATTATAATAAACAAGATGGAATATTGATGGGTTTAACTATAAAACATTACCATGTAAAAAATAAATCAACAATAAAACAGACAATTTTAATCACTGTTAAAATCCAAATTTAACCCAATGGTGAAAGATAACGTGAAAATAATGCATCCAATTACCCCTAATTCTGTATTAATTTGATTGTTTTAAAAGGGAACGACTCCTTTTAAATGGTAAAGGAATCTTGGTTGCTGATGAAAAGCATCAATATTTGGTATTATGTGAATTTGCAATTGCACAACAAATAATTTATTTTGCTGAATATTAATTATTAATTTTCTAACTAGATACAGTTTACTTTACACTTATTTAATATAGAAGGTCAAATTTATTACTAATTCTAAGGTCTTGATATAGGATTAGGAGTGTGAGCGAATTGGATTAGATGGATTTTATAAGAAAATTTGTTTGATTTAATTATTTGTTTTCTTAATGCATCATGTAGTTAGTTTTGTTTAAAATTGTAATTCAATGCAATTATTCGGATTACATTACATTTTAGTCTTATTTTTCCTATGAAAGTACTAAATTAATAGTTGACTCGTGGATGAAACTCTGTAATTTCCTAACTTAATTCACCACCTCAAACAAAATATGACCTCTGACCTAACTTCTGTATTTTTCTTGCTACAAATAATTGGCGACTATGATGAAATCGAAGGTCATATTCATCAGGTTCATGGAACACTAAAATATTTTTTTATATTATTTTATGCTTAAATATTATTTAAATATTTAGTTTTTAGTTTTTACTGCTAAGATAGTAATTTTTTTTCCTTTTCTATAAATCACTCGTTTATTTTTTTACTTTTATGATCTATTGTTATTATTTTTAAAGTTATATAAAATTATATTTGTATTCATTTTTTTTCTATTTTCTTATATTGATTTCATAATTAAAAGAGTTGGGATTAGTTTATTCATTCCTACTCCCAATCTACACTTCCTTATACTAATAAATTAATAATAAATTTAAAAATTTATTAATATTTATCAATATTATATTATTAAAATTGATTATAAAATGTATGCTTATGAAAATAGTGATGTGAACTTATAATCTTTCTAATTAAAAACTATTTTATTACCCTTATAAGGATATAAACTCATAAGCAGAGGGGGCACAGGTAGTAGCTGTCCAGACAAAATAAAGAGAAAATCAATTTTTTTTTCTTTATATATACTAATTAATTTTAAAAATTAAATAAATTAAATTAAATTTTTTATTTTTTTATTTATAATAAATATTATCTCTATTTTTATATATAGTTTTTCATTTTTATATCTTTCTTTATTCTTTCTTTTTTTCACTTTTCACTTTCAACTTTTTGATGTCATATACCATTTTTTTCCTTTTTCATCTCTATTTTTTTATTTATTTATTTTTATATTCTTCTATTACATAGTTTCATTTTATAATATAAAATTTATAATTTTTTTATTTTCAAAATTTTTCTTTTTACAATTTTATTTTTATAGTATGAAAATTATAACTTTTTATTTTTTTATTTTATTTATGTTAGAGACATTTTCACATTAAAAAATTAAAAGAAATTAAAAAGTAAAAGAGATATTCAACAATAATATATAAAAAATAAAGAAATAGTAAATAAATTTCTTTTCTTTATTTTTTTTAATAACTAGTGTTATATAATATAAAAATATAAAATATTAATATAAAGTTTTTTATTATAATTAATTAATTATTTTAATATTTTATAATTTTTCTATTTTGATGTTAAAATAAAATAAAATTTTAGAAATTAAAAGAATTATATTTATTTATGTTGATCTTTTATATATATATATATATATATATATATATATATATAATTTATAATTTTATATAATATATTTATATTTATATGATAATTAATAACTCATTTAAACTTCTATATTCTTAACTGATGTGGTTATGAACACTGATAACTAAAACATTGAACATACATCCATTTTTTTCTCTTATTGTTTTTCCTATATGCTCTTTATTTCTCAGTTTTGCTTTTCTTTTATTTTAATAATGTCATTGTTCGTAAGGTTCATGTGACTTTGATGCCATTCAAAAATATTTTTGTATCAATTTTGGAAAATCAAACTTTCCTCTCAATTATCTTTGTAAAAATGATAATTTAATAATGATGTAGCTTATTTTAATTTAAAATATTTGTAGGACAATTGATATAATTTTCATAAAAAAATAAAATTAAATAAAAAATTTATTATAAATTCGTGAAGGTGGTTTAAAAGATGTATAATATAATCATTTTCCACATGAAACTAATGATTGATGTATATAATCTTGAGTTTTTAAAATATGTATTTAGTTTGTCTACTATTTAACCATATTTTTTTATCATTATATAGAACATATGATTATGAATATTTAAAATAAGAATTATGCTATATATTTATTAAATAAATTATAATCTTAATGAATAATTATTATTTTTCTGTAAACAATTTGGAACTAATATAACTATTTTTGTCAACATGCTCTGTCATGTGTGTTTCTTCTTTTCCACGTTTTTTACTTCATTCTATTTTTTTTATTTTGTGTGGCAAGATTTTGTTGTGAGAACTTTGTCCATGATTTCCGGAAGGTCAACTATTGCCATGTGAATGAGAATGAATATGGCAATAAGTATTTGGCACATGCCAATGTATTAACAATTACATATTATTTTATTAATTTAATTCCTATCCTTAAAATATAAATATATAATTTAGCAATGATTTTGTGGGTTTTTGGGGTCTATACATGCAGAGAGTTTTACTTTTTTTCAATTTACTGTGAGAAAAAAATGTTTTTTTAATGATTTTTATGTTCTTAAGTTTTCTGAAATTCGTCTCATTTTTAAATTTAAATTTTTTTAATTAAAAAAACAAAATTTTCTACACATAAGAAAAATTATAAAAACTTAAAACCTATGTAATATTTTGTATTTACAAGAACGTCAACTAACGTCATCAATTATATATTTTAAAAAATTATTAAAATCAAATTTTTGTGAATTTATTCATTTAATTAGGTTTTTTTAATAATCTTGATTCTTTGGTTCTTCACTTATATTTTTTTTATCTCTCTTTATTCAATTTTTATTTTATTATTTTTATTATCTTTTCTTCTTCATATTTTTTTAATTAAAAATATTATAGTCAAATTTATTAAAATTATAATTAAAGTAATTTTTTAAAAATAATAATAAAACTGAAAATATATCAATTATTTATTTAAAATTATGATGACAATAAATAATTTTATTTATAATAACAATAAATAATTAACTTAAAATTATTTTATCATAATAAATCAATTATTTGTTTAATTAAAAATGTCATATATATTTTTATTTAGTAATTTAATCTAATTATAATTAAGTTGAGTTATGATGATTAGTTAGATTAAGTAATTTAAAAAAATTATTTATTAGAAAAATACTTTAAAATAAATTATTTATTACTTTCAATATTGATTTTAAAAAAATATTTTAATATATTTTTATTATAGTTTAATATAATATTTTTAGTTAGAAGGATAAATCATGTTGAAAGGAGAAAAAGAAGAGAAAAGAAAAAAAATAGTAAATGAGGAGAGAGTAAAAAAAAATTAAAATGGAAAGAAAATAAAAAAAAATCTAATGAAAAAAAAATAATTTTCGTTAAGAAATTTTGCTCCCTGTAATAAACTTTTGTAGTAAACGAATTTTATTTAGTTAAGTAAATAAATTTATAAATATTTTTTTTAAAATTATATTACTTATTAGATTCATTGATAAAGAAAATATATTAGAATACATATTTATGTTTTAAAATACTACCAGTCTCAATACGTTTTCAAGATCGGTTTAGGTTACACCTCAAATAGTTCTAACTTTACCTAATATTATAAATTTTTAAAATATAATTTTAAATATAATTCTATTACACTTTTGTTCTTCTTAATAAGTATTTTTTTTAAAAGATTTAAGAAAGAAAAAATTATTGTTATATTCTTCACCTAGTGAAGTAAATTTTTAGTTGAGAGTACTCATTGTTTATCCTCTTTGTGAAAGTTATTTTAGTATGTGAAGTAAATTCTTGGTTGAGAGTGTTCATTATTTATCCTCTTTGTGAGAATTATTTTAGTACATAGAGTAAAACTATTGTTATATTTTTTATCTAATTAAGTAAACCCTCGATTAGGAGTGCAAATTGCCTATTTTCTCAATGAGAGTTATTTTCATGATTATAATACTTGAAATCATCTTTGTAACCATGAGTGACAACCAATAATATTTGTGCCCTTAGACTCAGGAGGAAATTAAAGTTGATATCCAGGAGTGTCTTGGTGTACTCGTTGGTAACCATGAGTGACAACAAATAATATGATAATCAGGAGTGACTTGATGTACTCAAAGTAATCTTGTTGATTATAATGGAACTCTTTAAGTGTTCTTAAAGGAGACTAGGGGTGAACCAATATACTTTCAATGTCTTCATCTAGTTATCTTATCTATTTTCATATCTGATTCATTACTTATTTATTTTTTAAAGATGCTTTAAATTAGTAAAAAAATATCTATTAAAAAGAGCTCTATTCAACCCCCCTTCTATAGAGCTAACATGCGCCTTCACTTAGTATTAAAGCTAACCTCTTGGGGTTAGTTTTTTACAGGACTAGAGGAGAAGAACCTACTACGCAATGGAAAATGAAGGATATGTTGTAAACAAACCACCCTTCTTTATAGGTGAAAATTTTGATTATTGGAAATAGTGGATGATAGCATTTTTTGAATCATGTCACATATTGATGTGGGATGTGGTCGAGAATGGAAATTACATTCATGTAGATGAGTATGAAAATCCTTTACCAATGAAGCTTTGGAAGGAAGAACAAAAAGAAAGATACTTGTTGAACTCAAAGACTACAAATGCTCTCATGTGCGCACTATCTGAAGAAGAGTACAAGAAAGTTCATGCATACAAAGGAACAAATGAAAGGTGAGATATTCTTACGGTAACATATGAGGGCTCTATAGAGGTAAAACCTAATAAATTAAGTTTACTTACAAGGGAATATAAATTGTTTAGCATTAATAAAAATGAAAGCATATAGGATATATTTAGTAAATTTCAAATAATATAAAATTATAGTCCTTTGGTAGAAATTATGATTTATATAACCATGTTGATAAAATATTGAGAAGTTTGCCTAAACAGTGGCGTCCATAAGTAACACGTTTAGAATGTCCAAAAATTTGGATAACTTGTCACTGGAAGAGTTGATTGCTATACTGAAGGTTCACGAGCAGGAACTACTACAAGATGTACCTACTAAAAGGGAGAAGTCAATAGCTTTCAAAGTCAAATCCACCATACGATACACTGCTACCAAAGTCATAGAAAAGACAAACAACTCTTCAATTGATGAAGAATTTGAACAAGATGATGAGGATGAACTTGATCTTATCGCTAGACATATACACAACATCTAGAAAAAGAAAAGGAGAGTTAGAAGCAAAAAACACTTATCTCAACAAAAGGAATTCAAGGATAAAGAAAACATTATTTGCTACAACTACAAGAAGCTAGGTCACATGAAATTCGAATGTCCAGACCATGAGAATAGTAAGAACAAGAGACTATCATACTCAAGATGTGAAAAGAGGAAAATCTTGATGTCTACATGAGAAGATTAGAACTCATCAGAGTTAGATGAGGATGAAGCCAACCTTAGTTTGATGACAAACATAACTACATCACACACATCAAATGATGAAATGAATTTTTTTGACCTAGACTCTTGATGTAATGCTAATTATGAACTATTGTCAAACTTTGAATTATTGTCTAAAGGTTATAAGATTGCCAAAAAGAGATTTTTTTTTCTTCACTAGCATGCTATTAAATTTATAATTCAGAAATAACATCATTCTATCAATATTTACCTGACTAGCATTATTTTCAATTTTTTTTCAGTAACATGTTATTAAATTTATAATACAAAAATAACATCATTCTATCAATATTTACCTTATTACACAATTTTCAACTTCACTAATTAATATAATTTTTAAGATAAAATAATATTTATTAAATATAATAATTAAATATAAATATATATTTAAAAATGCTTTGATTGAGATTAAGGCTTTAAAAACTAAAATTGAAATGTCTAGTGATTTGAATGTTGATTTTGAAAAATTGAATTTAGAGAATGAGAACAAGTTTTGGAGTATTAATTTTTGTTGATGATAATAAATATGATTAAGTTTTGGAGTATTTAACATATGTGCTATATGAAATAAATTAATAATCTCATACTGGACCAGCTGAATTTTATATGTAAAATAATTATGTATTATCAAGTAAAATTCTGAAATATGTAAAAAGATATATATGATTATATGCTGATTAAATCAAAATGTGAAAAAGGAAATCGGATAGAAGAATAAATGTGCAACAATCAAAATTCAAATATTATCCTATAATTGAATTGGAATCAAACAACAACATAACAAATAATATTAAAACTTGACAAAAGAAGATAAAGAATATCCAAGTATACTGATTTTTTTCAAAATACATAGAAGGAAATATGTTTCTTCAACTCGTCATGTTTGCATAAAAAAGGAAACATATAATATGCTATGAAGACTTACATGGAAAGTATTTGAACTAAACAATTAAAGAATATCCACATATACTAAAAGAAGATTTTATGTAAAGAAAAATGTCAAAAAAATATGAAGAATATCATATTATTGAAGAAATGTTTCCAAAATATAATAAAGGTTAAAAATTTTGCAATCACATATTTTAGATTATGAAAGGAAGAACTCACTGATTGAAAATAAGCACAATACAACAACTGTGATATAATTCTATTAGTCTCTTGTTTTCCTTAGTGAATGTTTTCTTTTAGAGATTTTAAGAGAGAAGAAATCATTGTTATATTTTTCACCTAGTGAAGTAAATTCTCAATTGAGAGTAGTCATTTTATCCTCTTTGTAAGTCTTATTTGATTACATAAAAATAAATCATTATTATATCATTTACCTAAGGAAGTAAACTCTCGCTTAGGAGTACAAATTGTCTATTCCCTATGTGAGAGTTATATTCATGATTATACTTGAAATCATCCTTATAGCTAAACAATACTCATGCTCTTAGAGGTTGATAGCCAGGAGTGGTTTATATTCATTGGTAACCAGAATGACAACAAATAATATTCACGGTCTTAGTCTCAAGAGGAGATTAAGGTTAATAGTTAGAAATTGTTTGGTGTACTTATTGATAATCAGGAACGACTTAATGTAGTTGGAGTAATCTTGTTCTTAAAGGAGACTAGACATAACTTTTGGTTGGGGTGAACCAATATATATGTAATATTTTAATTTTATAGTCTTCTCTTATTTATTTTCGAACAATGTTTTATATTATTAAAAAATATCTATTAAAATGATATTATTCAAAACTCTCTTCCTATAACTAACTTGCACTTTATGGATCTAATCTACAGTTTCAAACAAATGAATTTGTGGTTATGAGCGAGAATATTAGATATGACTAATGGATCTTGACTATTAATCTTGAGAGAACCAAATAATATATTATTAATAAATAATAAATAAATATAAAAAATAAAAAGAATATAAAAAAAAGAAACAATGAAGCTTCATAGGGTCTTTCTATCTAGGTGTAGGTGATCCGGATCTTCACAGACATGACTATTTCACCGAGTCTCTCTCTGAGACAGTGCCTAGATTGTTACGTCTTTCGTGTGAGTCAGAACTTACCCGACAAGAAATTTCACTATATTAGGATCGTTACAGTTACGATCATTGTTCACCCCAGGAGGACTCTTAGCTAGTGTATATCATCTTACAAGAATAGAGTATGGTATAAATCAACCCAAAGAAGTATGCATAAAAATATTTTTATCAAGAAAAAACTCCTAGAATTCCTTCGATTGTTTGGGTTTGGAAAAGTGCGGATTTTCAAGAAAAGGAATCTTATAATATGCTGGGAATCTCTTATGATAGTTAAATCATGACTTCCTTGACCTTTCGGCATTCAACCCCCATACATGGTCTTACGACTTTGTGGAGATCTGTTTTTGGTAAACAGTCGTCTGAGTCTAGTCACTGCGACCCCCTTTGTGAGGAGGCACCCCTTCTCCCAAAGTTACGAGGTTATTTTGCCAAATTCCTTATAAAGAGTTGTCTCATACCCCTAGATATTTTCAGTCACATGGATAATTTAATATATTTATCGGTGTCTAATCTTAAGATGTGAATCATCAAAGACATTAGCATGATATATTTCTCCTCTTTGAATCAAAATTTAAAACCAAACAGATTCTCAAGAGAATAAATGAGACGATTGGAGCCCCTCACCAATAAAATACCTAGATTAAAAAAAGATTTTATTTTTTTAAAAAGAATTATTGAAAATTTATAATAAAATAATCCATTCTTACTATAATTTCATTTTAAAAACTCGTACCGAATTATCCATCCTAATACATTACAAAAATTTGCTGATCTTTTAAATTTATATATATAATAATTATTATTAAATTTAATAATCAAAATATAAATCCAAATAAAGAGATTAGTTGCACCATTATACATATACTACACTGTTGCAATTTTTTTTGGATTCGGGGTTATCCGATAATGTGCTAGCATACTGCAATAGGAGCATCGTGATTTGATTGAAATCGTCGCTACTCAATCAGGAAACACAGACACCGACAGGTATGTATATTTTGGGAAAGCGGAAGGGTAAAGGTTCCAAGGAAAAAGAAAAATGGTGATAGGAACGACATCACCACTGACGTAATAATGTCTTTGTTCTGTGTTCTTCAAAAATACACAATGTTTATCACGGAACCTCTTTACCTTGCGTCCTAAAACGTAAAATTTGACATATATCATAATGATGTGTTATAAAAAAGTTTTACCTTAATTTCAAAAACATATTGTGCCAGCTGAATATTTAAAGTATAATGTATCAAATTAAAGTCAAAAGGTTTATAAGATATATAATACACGATTGTCGGTCAAGTGATGAATTACATCGAAATAATTCACGGCATTTATCAATATTTAACGTTCTCCTTCCTTACCACTATTTCACCTATCAAAAGATTCTTTTATTTCTTTATTCTAAACTTTTACACTAATCGATCACAATTTATCTTTATTAACTCATTTATTTTACTCAACATGAAACCCATATAAATTATTATTCCTAACACAATTCATTTCACAAAATTAAATAGATCGCAACCCATTTTAAGTAACGACTATTGATTAACGTAGTATATATATTTAAAACATTATACGGGTAACTTTATTAAAACTGATTAACTTTTTATTAATCATTAATAAAGAATTTAATACTTTGCCATAAAGACTTGATACTTGGCAGAGGATAAACTTTGTCATTATTAGAAAAAATACATTATAAAAGTGCGTTTTAGTTTATAGACTTTGGAAAGAAATTAATTTCTATGACATCACGATTATCCTAGCAATTTCTTTTTTCAAAGCTATTGATTAAATTGGAGAAGTCTTACGATGTCTCCTGCACAAAAACGTGGGTGTATGTGAACACTTGAATCAATGTCGATTGTTCAGGTTACTCTGATTCTTTGATTCCTTTCATTAAGATCTCAGTTTGAATTCGGTGTAGAGAAAATAATATCTCAAAGAGCTTTGCCTTCTAACGTAAATAAATTCAATTCATCTACTTTTATTTCAAATTCAAAGGTACTTTTATATGACAAAATTATCAAGAGGAAAAAAAAGTACACTTTAACGAAATGCAGTGAACATGTCCATTAATTTGAAACTCTTTTTTATTCTTTGCTAACACATGAATTCGCACAAAAACAAATTCTCATAGAATAATAATATGGTCGGAAACAGCACCATATATAATACTATATATACACAATGCATGCATGAAAGCACCTCAGAGTTGTAGTAAACAACAACAAACCTATCTTCAAATCTAAGATGGATACTAATTATACCACAACCACTGTTACTACTACTACTACTACTACTTCAGAATTTGATGTGACATTTTCAGACCCTATTGAGCATTACATGTTTCATGATGAAGCAAATGCTTTGAACAACAGTGTTTTGGCCTCAAATGAGGATTGGTTCTCTGGGAATGGTGTGGAGGGTGGTAAAGCACAAGAGGAAGTTCCAAGAGGGACGAGGTACAAAGGAGTGAGGCGTAGGGCACATGGAAAGTTTGCTGCAGAGATAAAAGATCCAAACAAAAGTAATAGGATTTGGCTTGGGACTTATGACACTGAAGAAGAAGCTGCTTTGGCTTATGACAGTGCAGCTTTCAAGTTTAGAGGGTCCAAAGCCAAGCTCAACTTTCCTCAACTCATTCCACCGGTGGATGCACCAAGCACCCACATGGATAACCCTCCTTCTTCATCATCCGCATCTGAGGATCGTTCAGAAGGATCAAAGAAAAGGAAGGGACTAGCTGGTTTGCTGAATAAATTAGCACATGAAAGAAACAGGATTTGATGCTGTACTTGGTTTTGATCTAAAAAATAAATAAAATGCCATTTTATTGCTTTGGGACTTCTTATGGTAATCACAAAAATAATTTTTTTTTATTAACAGGAAACAGATCATTCTTTAAACAATTTTACTAAAATAATACACTTTAATTTTACTAAACAATTTATTAACAGGATTTCAACTCATACTATAATTTCTAACATAAATGAATAATTCAGACAAGTCATAATTAATAACGATCAACATGCGAAAACACTTTATACATAGATAAATATGAATTTATGACTAATTATAATAAGAAGAAAACATGTCAGTAAAAGATTAACCAATCTAATTTATAGAATTCTTACTTATATTATTTTAAATAATAAATAATACTTTTTAGTATTAATTATTCCATTTTTAACGTGATAAGTGTTGTTATTATACTATGTATCTAATGAGATTAATTGAAAAAAAAATTAGGTGGACAATAAATATAATAATAAAATATAAATTTATTTTATTTTATTTTTTAAAAAGATTAAAACTATAATTATTTTGGGATGTGGGTGAATCTTAGTCCATTTATAATATCATAAGTAATTGGTGGTAGATCAGAATAATAAAAAAAGTTTACTTTAATCATTTAGAAATTCAAGAGATGCTCTTTTTAATGAGTAAAAACCAATTATGCAATGGTTAAAGGTGTAGCAAAAAGAAATAGTTAGAAAACAAACAATATTATTCAAGAATATGGTATCATTCTACAAATTACGTTTGGGAGATAAGATTTTAATTTAGTCTTCATTCTCAGTTTTCACCGTATCATTAAATAGTTTTTTTTTTTTTTTTCACTTCCTTACAAGTTTTGAACATCTACTTTCTTTAAAATGAACTTTCTGAAATATAAAAAATACATTTGAAAAGCCCTTTCCGAAATAAATAAGGTGTCTACAACTTTTATTGGGTGTGTACCATAATAGTATTGGACTTTGTTTAACTTTTTAGGCATTTCTACTGACACCCCCGATTTACTATTTAAAATACTCAACTTCTCACTTTTATTCCTTTTGATGAAAATTTCCGACAAAAGCAATATGTCGTTGCTATAAAATAAATACAATGGTAATTTATTTCTAATTTGTTAAAACAGGTGTCTGTGAATTCAAAATATATAAAGAAAAAAAAATTGATATGATAAATTAAAAATAAAACTTTTTTCAATTTGTTTAAAAAATTTTAACACTTTTGAAAATACATAATGATATATAGAGAGTACGTATTCGAATAAATTTCAATACAACTCACGCCTAACTTTTATGATTTATTTTTTTCATTTGTTTGATTAGATTAGAGATTTATATTAGATTTTCATCATTATTTTTTTATAATCTAATGGTTTAAAATAATAATTTATTTTAATTATTAGATTATTATAAAATAAAATAAAATTCTAATTCTTGTTTTTAATATATATATAATTTTGAAATTATTGGATGGTTGAAGTTGATGATCTAATCCTTGTCGTTGTTTGTATACATCATAATGTTTTTAAGAAAAAAGTGATAGAATTTTGTTGATTATTTTTAACGATGTCAAGAATTGACCGTAAAGAAGACAAACTTTGGGTAGTTAGTTCTACGAAAGTGGTTGGCAAAAGTATTTTTGTCACTTGTTCCAACTTGGTATTCCCTTCAATTTTTTAATAAATACATTTATGAATATGAATACATTTTTCTTTGGCACGTATACATTTTTCAAAAATGTAATAATAAATATTTTGTATGTTTGATGTGCGTGACGTATTGAGCCTGATAAGGGCAATGTTTCATCACCCAACCTCATTGTTTTTTTATAATATACACTTTTTAACAACTTAATTTTGTTCATCAAATTTTAATTATTTAAGAGAATCTTGCTTAGTGGAATACACGTTTGAGCATTTTTAACTTTAAAATTTTAAATGTTGACACGTATGTGATATTAATAATATTTTAAATTACTAGAATGTTTAAATTTATTTTATTTTTTAATAATTTATTTTCTCAACACTTTTAATTACTCACTAATGATTTTTTTATTATATTTTTCATTATAGGGTGATATGATGATTTGACTTATATATTAAGGTGGTGAAATTCTTTTGGATAGTCATTCGCTGTTCGTTTAATTCAACTGTGATCGGATTTCAATAAAAAAAGATATTATATAATTGTTTTTTTAGGTTCCATTGAGATGCTACAAAAGTGCTTCTCCAGATCTGATTTTCACTGAGTAACATTTTATTTTAAATTTTTTTTACCTGAGTTTCTTATCAATTACCGAACCATCTCCACTGAATTCTTCATGTAATGCTTCTAGTCTTGTTTAAGTTTGTCCCAATTCATGGAACTGATTTTGTCTAACAACTCCCACGTTATGATACAATTCCTTAAAGGTTCCAGTCATTTTGCGACAAAATTCTTCAATGACTTTGTAAGAATCAAAATTTTTAACCATTTTGGTATCTAACCAAGTTCTAAATTCAATTAGCCTAGTTCTCAAGTGACTTGGAGAGATCTCGTTAATAGTAAACCAAAGTCCTCCAGTAGGCTTTGAAGATGTATTTGTCCTATTGGACCAGAGTTAACTTCTTTAGAATTGTAAAGAAGTTCATGTATGACTTTTGATTTGAAGGTGTTAATTATCAAAATTTTGGTTAAATCTACATAACTGGGGACTGTCTCTGTCCTAGGAATATCATTCAACAATTATTGGAGTATTCTTAAGAGTTGGATAAAAACAAGATTTTATAGTCATTTGATAATATATATTGTGAGAATATTGAAAAATAGATTAAATAGATCTCGATGAATTTATCTTTTTACTGAAAATTAAATTTCATGAAGAAAATTTTTGATAAGGTGGACCAACTTTTTTTTTCTTTGTTTGGCTTTGGTATAACTTTTTAAAATTAATATTCAGTAGCGTTTATTTATTATTAATTTTTATAAACACAAACATTTGTAAAATTATAGGTTCAAATGAAATTACAAAATATATAAATTATGAGGCCAAAACGTGAAAAAAAGGAATAAACTTAAAGTTTAACCAAAATGGTTATATATTTACACTAGTTTTATGCATTTAATGATTGTGGTAAAAGTAAATAATACATACACTGTAAGACTTCTTACAAAATTAAAAAAAAAAATAATAATGTATTGAAAATTTGTTAACTTTACAATAACTAATTATCTTAAAAAATATATTTAATATGATTTATATTGGTGACGATTTTAAAAAAATTACATTATCAAAAGCAAACAATTCAACCAACAATATTGATTCACAATTTTGCTAATGAAATATACAGATATATTGGATAAAATAATAGAAGAAGATAAATCTATGTTAACTAACAATGAGACTATCGTTTGGGGGAATTATAGTTATCTCCATGGATGAAGTTCAAATTATGCCAAATTCATCTAGTCATATAAACTAATTGATAAAGAAATTGTGTCAGAAAAAAAAAACCTTTTTTATTTTTTTCCTACCATCTTTTATTGTCGTTGGTTCTCCTAACATTCTCATTTTCATTGCCTATATGACTTCTTAGGCTCTAGCTAATCATGAACTCCACCAAATACACCTGCAAAATTCTATGGATAAGCATGCACACTAACAATGGTGAAGAGTCATATTAAAAATATTGACATTAAGAAAGATTGGCAACCTAACGAATCTTTTAATAAAGAAAAAAAAACTTTACCTTTTTAATACAATATTCGATCCATATGTGAGGGATATCATGAAGGGATTTTACAATACTATTTAATGAATATGTGCTAGAATTTTCATATTTTGAGAAATAAAACATACGCATTATCTTGCTTTTGCAAAAAGTGGAGGCTAAGCTCACCAGAAGAGAAAAAATGATGCACCAAACTCATGCATTAGGGTTATTTTATGCTAATATGTTTACCTCGAATATAATCATGAGATTCAACATTTTTTATTTTAATTTATAATATTAGCAGGCTGAAAGACTCTTATTGACCAAGACAAAAAAATCATATTTTACAAAAGCAAGTTTGATGTGGGTGCTTGGTTAGTTAGATGAGGTGTGACTCAATACAATTTAAATAATTGATCAATATTTAACCATGAACTTATTATTAAAGGTTTATAATAATAATAATAATAATAATAATAATAATAATAATTATAATAATTATAATAATTCAAATATAGTTTGCTATGAGTAGTATTATTTAAAGCGAAGAAACAGATAACAACAAATATTGCCACTTCAAAGGTAAGTAATTGGCATGCCAAAATCCATGGAAGTTTCAAAGAAGCAACCATTGCAAGAATATTTTAAAAATACCTGCACGTTGTGCCACAGTTGTTATCAGAAAAAAATACAATTGTTTAAACAAATTGATGCTATAAATGATACACTGCACCATGTACTTTGAAGGCACACAAAGCGCAAAGATTGCTGAAAGTTGAAACATGGCTTCAGCCACCACGGATTCCGACTATGCATTCTTGGAATCTGTTCAACAATACCTACTTGGACATGATTCCATCAACTTCATGCCTGCAACCCACAAAGTTGCTTCTCATGATCCACTTTCAAACCATAAACGTGAGGCTCATTTGGAGAACATTATTTTCCGCAGTGAGGATGCAACTACTGTGGTGGCGCGTGATGTCCACGCGTCACCACCATGGAAGCATTACCGAGGTGTTAGGCGTCGGCCGTGGGGGAAGTTTGCAGCGGAGATAAGGGATCCAAAGAAGAATGGAGCCAGGGTTTGGCTTGGAACTTATGACACTGAAGAGAAAGCAGCTTTGGCTTACGACAAAGCTGCTTTCAATATGCGTGGTCGAAAAGCTAAGTTGAATTTTCCGCATCTTATTGACTCTGATAATTTTGATATAATTTCGTCAGAACCTGTGATAGAGAGAACACCCAAGAGGAAGTTGTCAGAAAATTTTCAACCTTCATCACCGTCATCGTCGTGTTCAGATGATAGCTCAGAGTCACAAGGGACAAAGAGGAGGAAGAACATGACTGATCTATTGAACAAGTTAGCCAAGAATAGAAGCCAAGCCAAGGTGGCATGATGAAGTGGAATGTGTTGAACCATTTCATCAATCGTTGTTTAGACTTCAATGATCATGTTATTTTGTTCACCTTCTTGTGCAATTAATTTGCCAAGCTTGATGAAATTATGTGCCTATCATCAGTGATGTTTGACAACATAAACCAGAATTGATCCTAAAACATCAATAAAAGATCGATATATTTTCAACTTATTAACTTTCACACTGGACCATTAGTTGTAAAATAGTAAAAGTTACATCATAAATACGTAGGGAAAACTTTAATTTAATTATAAAATCTTCTAAATTTAAACCCTTTATAAACCCAACTACTCCTACCTTTGCAAAGTCACCAGGGGTGCCCTAGTCCTTTCCTTCCAACCTACTTTCAACCTATTAGATTTCTTTATTCATTAAAAAATATATATTCTCATTATTTTGACTCCATGTTTATGTTTTTCTTTATGTAAGTTCAAAGTTTGGTTGATCATGTTGTTGATAATATACTCTAAAAGAGGTATGTATGAATAGATCGAAGTTATAATAATATTAGGCGTGTTAATATTTTTGAAAGCATAGCTAATTAAAATACTCTTTAAACAACTCATAATGTTTTTAAGCAGAGAGTATCGTAACGTGCTACAATTTAAATTTGTTTAAACACTTTGGAATGCTTCGATTGCTGATATATATAATCTTTATAAACAACAAGTTGAGGTATATTAGAGAGGATAATCCAATCAAAATGATACTCGTATCAATCTGGGCGGAGCAAAAAGGCAACATGGAGTGGGTATCAAGATATAATAATTCATTCATCTTATTATCAAATGCCAAATGCCAACCATTACTTAGGCAAAACTCAATTAATTGGTGAAAAGCTTTAAGAACCCTTCTTACTTAGGCTAAACTATATTAATTGATCTTCAAAACATCACTAATCTAAGAGTTTAAGCCGGTGAGAGAACAATTTTTTTTATAACTACACTCTTATTTATACATAAATTTATCATAAAATAATGATAAAAAAATTCAAATAATAAAAAATTTAAATATATAAGATTACAGAAGAAAAAATAATAAAATTTCATATATTAATAATAATTTTAATAAATATAATCTTAATCCATATCTATTATCCATATACACTCTTAATTAATTTGTCCTGGTATTAAGTTAATAAAGCATAAATTAATATAATAAAGTACAAACAATTTCGGAAGAAGCCAATTTTTACCGGTAAGGCCTTATATAAAAATCTTTACTTATACATATAATAATATTTGACTTAACAATCATCAGAAAAATTATCCGATCTAGTATCATAGTTAGGCATTTATGAAGAAATTATAATTGAAATTTAAAATATTTACAAATGGAATATAATAAAATATAAATAAATTTACAATTTACTCTTTGAATTGTCCTTAATCTGACTTTGTTAATTTCTCCAAAACATACTAAATCCTAAAAATACTAATAGTGGGCCCAATTTCAAAACATTCAAAGCAGAGGTTAAATATTTTGTATTCAAACTGTTATATTTTTTAATTATAATTATTTTAAGGTTATTTTAAAGGTTGTTGGGGGAATTAATTTGCTTAAGATTGTTGTCGTATAATGTTAAAGGTCATGCTTATCCGCCACTTTTCTACAAGGTCATCATTGGCGTATTTAATGCATCTATCTATCTGTCTATATAGTAATTATTTTTATTTTGAATTTTATCAAAAATAAAATGTAAAATATAAAGATGTGATATACATTATTTAATACTGGATTTTAACGTAAAATAATATAGTTAAAATAATTAAATAATATAAATTACAATGTTATAATTTAATCTATTTTCTATAAAATGGTAATTTTGATTCCTCTGCCCAGGGAAAGATAAAATTATACCACTGTACCTTATTAGATCAGTTATTAATCATAATACAATGTGAATTTCTAGATTAAATCATTAAATTATAACTGCACGTTATAAAGCAATAATAATCACACTCGTGGCATTGTGATTAGTTTATTGAACAGAATTCATTAATCGCACGTGACACAACACAACTGGTGTCACTTCCTAAACTCTTTGAAGTTTCATAGAAACAACCTTTCAAAGAACCATGGAGGAAACAACCCTCATTTACAGATCCACAAACAGAAACAGTTCCTATATATAAACGCACAGTGGCACAGTTTAAGGCTCAAGTTCTTTCACAACCACCAAACTTCAGCTCAACACCATTGTCCTTTTTCACGTCCAAATCATGTCATCCACCACCACTGATTCGGAGTGTGCATATTTCGAACAAATTCAGCAATACCTCCTTCCCAATGATTCAGCCATTGTAACACCAGATCAAGCTTTTCCTAGCCCTAGGCATCTTAGTTGTTCGGATGCAAGTGTCCACTTTGAGCACCCTACTGAAGCGCGTGAAGTGAACGCGCCACCTAAATGGAGGCGTTACAGGGGTGTGAGGCGTCGGCCGTGGGGGAAGTTCGCAGCTGAGATAAGGGATCCAAAGAAAAATGGTGCTAGGGTTTGGCTCGGAACTTATGTGACTGAAGAGGAAGCAGCTTTGGCTTACGACAAAGCTGCTTTCCAGATGCGAGGCCGAAAGGCCAAGCTGAATTTTCCTCATCTCATTGACTCGGATGAGTCATCGGAGCCGCCAAGTGTGGTGGCTTTAAAGAGGAGCTTGCCGGAGCCTTCTCCACCATCATCAGTGGATGATAGTTGTTGTAAGTCACAAGGGTCAAAGAGGAGAAAGAGCTTAGTTGATCTACTAAATAACTTAGCCAAGAATAGAAGCCAAGCCAAGGTGGTTGAAATGGCTTTAGAGGCAAATGTAGTTGAGCAATGGGTGAATGATTTGAACGATTGCACTCTAATCTGGTGCTCCTAGCTAATGTTAAGTTGTTGTGTCTTTTTTTGTTTGTGTAGTTCTAAGTTCTTTGTTTTTTGCTGTGCCAATTAATGCAGTTCCTAAATAAATTTGAAACGATTTTTGGACACCCTGGAGAAATTCAAGTTTTGATGTATGTCAACAATTATGAAATAGTCATATGAGCATAAATGAAACAAATAGCATGTTGAAATATTTCCACTAGAACATTTCTTTGGGTCTGATTTATCAGTTGAAAAATATAGTTGAGCATTGTAAACTTTTTTGACTTGTGATTATTTCAAACTTGGTCCAAGACAATATTTGTTCTAAGATTTTCTCCAACGAATATATACAACCACTCTACAAATGAAATTAAAAATATGAGAGAAGTACTGAGTTAAAACTAATGTTGCTCCTCTATCTGCATAATTTTAATGTCCATGCAGACTTACTGTGTTAACAATTAACCGTATATAGTCTTAAATTTATGTCTTAAAGAAATGGAAATCATTAATTTTGTTCCATGTATTGACTTTAAAAAAGTGGAGCAACAAATTGATATGTTGGTAAACCTCCTCATTATATGTTAGAATTCTATGTATGCTAACTAAAATGATAATTTATATTCTCCCGACTTATTTTTTAACCTAAAATCTTAAAATATTAGGTTATGTATTTTTCTCAACAATCATCAAGAATATATCCTTTCTATTGGTTGGATTATGTACTGGCTGACTTTTTAAAGCAATGTTTTAAAAAACGTAGACTAATTGTTTTCAGGGGAAGAAAGAATTATATTACTCTCACTATAAAATGATGCATTGTGATTCAAAGTTTTGTTAAGAGAGACACTTACATACCATATAATTAGACCTATCTTTTAAAGAAATTAAATATATTTTTAAGTCATTCATGCAAATGGTGTTTGCATTTTGTTCATCATTAGAATAAAACAAATTGCAAGCTTGCAGAAATATCAGGGTTTGCTTATATGAGGGTTTTGTGTGTTTCAAAGCTTAAATAAATCATGATTATACATCTGAGAATACGTGTAGATTAGTCAGCTAATTAATAGTTAATTTTGTATAAACAGACTCTGAATGGATTCCCTTTTAGAAAAGTATGAGAGGCAGAGAGGGTATTTGCAAGTGGTGTTGTTGAGTATAACATGTCATTGCTCTATCCCATATATTGATATCATCAATAGTTATATTATACTAATAGCACGTGAAAATACCCTTTCATTTTTCTATTCAACTTTGAAGTTCTGTTGACTAGCTCTGCTATATTCCATTAGTTTATTATTGCTTTTGCACATCAGAATCTGCACAATAAGATTTAATTCCTTTTATTTATCAAGGAAATTACTGCAACACGGCAACTATAGAATCGATCAGGTTCTCAGCCAAGAAAAATTGTTACAGGTTAATTTCATTTTAATCTACTTCTCAATTTTAAGGGTGCATCTTCTTAGCAAAAATTATAATTGTTGCAAATCTATCTTTAAAATTACAATTTTCAACTTTTCTTAATATTTATAAACTTAATAATAATTTTCAAATAAAGATATATCATATATAATTTAATTGTTTCATTTTCTTACTTCGCTACATTTATTATCCATATTTGATAGACATAAATAAAATAAATTATTATTATTTTAAAAATATTTTGTAATAATAACCTAAATTATAATTTATATATATTCATAAATATATAAAGAAGTAAATTAGGGATGATTTTTTGTATGGTTTCATATTAGGTTATCTCCCTCCCTTTGGTAAAAAGCTAGTCATTATTATTCATCTTCTTTGAAGCTTTTTTTTTTTTCTTTTTCTTCTATAATTATCTATCCATGTTTGACAATTCTAAATTTTACTTTGTCCTAACGCTTATTAATACGAAACATCTCATTCCAATCACTTTGGACATAAAAACCAATCAATATCACTCATGGACAATCTCATTTAAGGTTCAAGCTAAAATTCATTATGTGCTTGAACATATCATCCCTCCCATGGAGATTGTTGTCGTAATAACATACCAAACAGTTAAGGTCGTTGATCTCCCTTTATTGAATCTCCTTTATGTTTGTGGTGGATAATTCAGTTGCTAAAACTTGGTAGTGTTGGATGTGAGGGTGCGCTCGAGGATGAAAGTGTGTGTTGAGTTTATTTTTAAAATTTGATACCAAATTTGTGAGCGTATGTCTTTATATGAGTTTGTAATTTAATGACAAAATATAATCTTTATAATTTATTTATATAATGATATAAAATATTTTGTTTTCTTTATTTATTTTTATTTTATTTTAATTTATTCTTTTTATCTTTTTTTCTTCTATTATTTAATTAAAATTCTTATATTAAAATAATTTTGTCAAGTATTAAAAATACTTAAATATTTATTTTTTAAATTATTTAATTTAACAAATTATTATAAATTAATCTAATTATGATTAAATTAAATTATAAAATATTTTTATTTTTATTTTTTAATTAGGTGAATAATTAATTTATTAGAATATATTTAAAATTAAGTAATTATTATATAATTTTAAATATTTAATTTTTTTAATTTAATGTTGATTTTTAAAAATATACTTTAAATTCGTCTGTAATTAATTGTTCATTTATAAAATTGTTAATTTACCGACGGATATATCCGTCGGCAAGACCAAATTCCACAACTACTTTAAATCTGTTGGTAATTTTCGTCGATAATCACTAATTTTCCGATGGCTACATATCCGTCGGTAATTAATGATTTTCTTGTAGTGACCTTCGCATATTGCAACCGACTCAAATCTTTTGTTAACCAATTATTCAATGTTGGGGCTTCTATTCCATATCAATATCTAGTGTTTGTTTGCTTGTTAGCTTAAACTGAAGCATATGTTGGTTTTGTCACAGTTATGCGATAAAAAGATATCTTGCCAAGTTTTGTTATAATATGTTTTCGATTGAAGTTAATAGAGACCACAATTAAGAAGTGAACTACTCGTGAATTTGGTTCCTTCACATTCTTAATCATGGATGAAGGCTCCAATTCACAATTGCAACAACATCATAGTAATACCAATAATTCCTAGGACCGTCATAATACCAATCATGGCAAGAAAATCAATCGAGGCAGAGGCAATAACATCCATGTTGGAAAAATAATAATAATTATAATCATGATTTTGATTCTAACGATCAAACATAAACGTAATCACATACTAATAAACATGTTGTAAACTGAATGTGAAAGCGTACCTGAATTAGCCATAATGATAATGTCTTTGTAGGACACTATATTGATCTTATGGTCTTCCACCTGAAGAACACTTGTATTTCCCTCTTGATTTTCTCTCTTGATGGGGATAGAAAGAAAGGAACGGGAACTAAGACTAACGTTCTGTGTGTGTGCTCCCAGAAGGGGATCATGATCCTTTAAATAACTAGAATTAGGTTAATTACTTAAGTTTTAATATCTTCAATTTGGCCCCTCATCAAATTAGAAATTATTCAATGGTCTCTACATAATTTTATTTTCATGACATATGTCTTTAGCCAAAACTTTAATTTAGTCAGATCACTTTATTATTTTGCTCAATAAATAATGACCCTAACACATTTAAATTATGTATCATATATATACATGACCCAAATTTTGCCAACAATCTCCCACTGGTCACAAATATATATGTCCTTACAACCTTACAAATGTGTTAGACTTTATGAGCTCAAAATTGCCATTATATTCCTTTAACATACTCCAAAAGTCTTGTCCATTAATCATATCAGGATATGGAACCAAACCAATTTTTCATTGCATCATCGCAATTAAAACCAACAACGATTACTCATCCTAACATAACCAAATGACATGGATTCATCATGAAATGTGTAGCATGAAAAATTACGTGAAGGTGATCTGTACACGTCTATTTTCAACTAGTCGAAACTTTAACTTATTGATATCGATATAATAACCTTAATGTACAAAGTGTAATGAATGAACAAAAATCCGCATATCTATAAATAACCAAATATGTCCAAAAAAATAATAATTAATGTATACATACATGAAATTAAACATAGAACATAAAATATATGAAAGTGACTAACTCCCACTAAACCACAAATTCCTCAAATTGTAAAACATCTATGTGAGCAACATGCTCATGAAAGACCTTGGACGGAAGTCCTTTAGTTAGAGGATCTGTTATCATGGAGGTTGTCCCTAATTGTTCTATGAAAATTTGTCCACTCTGTACTCTTTCCTTAACAATACAACTAATTTGTTGTCAAAATATAACTTAAGTGGTCTTTCAATGTCTTTCGCAATTTGCAGCCCTGTGACAAAATTTCTTAACCATATTCCATGATTTGATGCCTCATAGCATGCTACAAATTTTGTTGCTATAATGGATGAGACTGTAAGGGTTTGCTTGACACTGCGCCAAGAAAATGCACCACCTGCCAACATGAAAATGTAACCTGAAGTGGATTTCAAACTATCTTGACATCCTGCAAAGTCCGAGTCATAAAACCCAGCGATCTCCAACTGGTCTGACCTCCTGTATATGAGCATGTAATCTTTTGTTCTCTTTAAATATCTTATGACCATTTTTGCTGCTTTCCAATGGTCCATTCCTGGATTTCTTAAATATTTGCCTAGAAACCCAATTATGTATGCTATGTCTGAATGCGTACATACTTAGGCATAGATCAAACTCCCTACAGCTGATGCATAAGGAATTTTTTGCATTTCCTTAATTTCCAAATTCCCCTTTGGGCACTAATTGAGACTAAACTTGTTCCTCTTTAAACTTGTGATACACACAATCATCAACAATATTCATCTCGAAGTCAAATGAGAGAATTACTTGATGAAATTTGTAGTACCATTGACGAGATGCTTATTTTAGTCCATAAATGGATTTTGTCAGTTTGCAAACCATATTCTTTAAATCTCCCTGCACAAAATTTTCTGGTTTTATCATATAAATCGTCTCATCAATGTTGTCATTG